TTTGGTAGTTTAGCGCGAAGGAAGGTAATCTAGTACTGGTGTAACTCTCCAGGAACGATGGTTAGGAAACTACCCGCCTTTATGACTGAAATACTGTTGGGAAAAGGCGTAAAATGAAACAAACAAACAAACATAATAATATTTGGATATACATTACCAAACCGCAGGCTAATTTTTCAGACTTTCGGCCTCTGTGGTCAATGTTTAAGGTTGCTTACATTGAATCAATTTAGCCCTTCGCTGCTGTGGGTTTGAATCCAATGACTGACGATTAATTCATTATATCTAACAAGGAGTGGATGAGTCTGTTTCTAAGGTACCAATTTGTGCCTGAAAAAATGCACAGAGTGGCACTGAGGTCTTCCTCAAACAAAAAAGCTGAAAAAGTCGCTTTATGACCCTCACTGCGTCAGATTGACTTAAAAATTCATGACCTTGAATAAAATTTGAGTCATGATAGACTGTATAAGATTGTGGAATGTGAAGAAATTTTAAAATTCAGTTAGGCAGTCCTGATACTGAATCTTAATTGGTTTTGTTTTTTTGTGTGTTTAAAAAGGGGTCAATACATAACAAAACTTTCATTAAAATCCAAAAACCTTAATCTTATCTAAAACTATCCATGTTATATAAAACTTTGATAGCTTTCCATAATAGATCTCAGAGTAGAGAACAATATCATTCACATGTCTGTCTGTAACAATATGTACATGTAGCGTGTGCCGAGAAATGTATATACTCTCCCTTTTTCTATCTGAAACAAAATTACTAACTCATCTTAAACCTGGTGTCAGTATTGTATGATATAGCTGATGTCAGTATTGTATCATACAGCTGGTGTCAGTATTGTATCATACAACTGGTGTCAGTATTGTATCATACAACTTGTGTCAATATTGTATCATACAACTGGTGTCAGTATTGTATCATACAACTGGTGTCAATATTGTATCATACAACTGATGTCAGTATTGTATCATACAACTGGTGGCAGTATTGTATCATACAACTTGTGTCAATATTGTATCATACAACTGGTGTCAGTATTGTATCATACAACTGGTGTCAATATTGTATCATACAACTGATGTCAGTATTGTATCATACAACTGGTGTCAGTATTGTATCATACAACTGGTGTCAGTATTGTATCATACAACTGGTGTCAGTATTGTATCATACAGCTGGTGTCAGTATTGTATCATACAACTGGTGGCAGTATTGTATCTAACAGCTGGTGTCAGTATTGTATCATACAACTGGTGTCAGTATTGTATCATACAGCGGGTGTCAGTATTGTATCATACAACTGGTGTCAGTATTGTATCATACAACTGGTGTCAGTATTGTATCATACAACTGGTGTCAGTATTGTATCATACAACTGGTGTCAGTATTGTATCATACAGCTGGTGTCAGTATTGTATCATACAACTGGTGTCAGTATTGTATCATACAACTGGTGTCAATATTGTATCATACAACTGGTGCCGGTATTGTATCATACAACTGGTGTCAGTATTGTATCATACAACTGGTGTCAGTATTGTATCATACAACTGGTGCCAGTATTGTGTCATACAACTGGTGCCAGTATTGTATCATACAACTGGTGCCGGTATTGTATCATACAACTTGTGGCAGTATTGTATCATACAACTGGTGTCAGTATTGTATCATACAAACTGGTGCCAGTATTGTATCATACAGCGGGTGTCAGTATTGTATCATACAACTGGTGCCAGTATTGTATCATACAACCTGGTGTAAGTATTGTATCATACAACTTGTGGCAGTATTGTATCATACAACTGGTGTCTGTATTGTATCACACAGCTGGTGTCAGTATTGTATCATACAACTGGGGGCAGTATTGGAAATATATGAGTGTATGTTACTATAAATCTATATTCATTTTTTTTTCATTGTAACTTTTGAAACATTTTGAAACCACTATACACACTGATATATTATTTTTATCCTTTTTTTGGCATGGTGTTTAATGTGGAGTTTATAATATGTGTATGTGTTTTGTAACCTCTGTGTTTTAATTACCATTATATGGCTTATATGATACCTTTGATATTTCTTTACAAGAACAGAGCCAGTCTATTGTCCAACTTTAGTCTTTATTGGTAATGTCCATTGAATGTCATTTAGATTCTTTATGTACTAGTTATGTAATTCAACATCTGTGCTTCAATTATAATATGGTTCCCACCTCCATATCCCTTGTGATTCATCTGATTCCCTAGTAGGGCATCCATGGTTGTTGGACTTTGAGGTGGTCATTTTGGTTTTATCACATACAATGGTATTTTCTATATTTTAAAGTGGCTCAAAATGCATTTTATTTAGCCTCCAGCTGTCTTGTCTTAACCTCATCCCTTGCTTTATATGAGAATCACCCGAGTTCTTCCTGCACCTGTTAGGCTGACAAGTCAAACTACTGTAAAATAAGTATTTTTTTCAAGGGATTAAATTTTGCTCATTTTGCAGATCGAAGATGTTTGCAAAAAAAAAAGTTTGTTCTCTAAGAATCTAAATGTCATATAGATTTAACTGAAATGTGAGAAAAATTTTGGAAAATTTTACCTTGCCAATCAGTCTGAAATTTTGAAAGTGTGAAATTTTGTCCCTGCGGAAATTTCTGGTTTTACAGAAGTACAGGTTGACTCACTAAGAATGGTTTACCAAAATTAGAAGTTGCTTGAAATAAAGTATATAAGTGATAAGCTTGGAATTTTGTATACGTTCCTGGAACACACATAATTTTAATATACCAACATCAGCAGGGGTTGTTCATACATGTACATAAAACTTTTCCTTTTATGATTGGTTTAGGACAAGATAAAATTATTTACATATGTATTTGGTTAGTACTTGAAAAATATAAAAAGAAAACATTGGAATATTCTATTCAAGTATTTGAGACTTGTAATTTATATCTATATTATAAATATACTGTCATAACTGCATTTGTATGTATGCATTTAGTATTTAAGATTTGGAATTTATAATTATTTAATAATTATACTAACACAGTTGCATTATGTATGCATTTCTCTATATTGAGAAAAAAGCATTTAAACCAAAAAAATAACTTTTCTTACGATCATCTCTGATCATTATTTTTATTATGACAGATTTTTCCATGTTGCACGAGAGATTGTGAATGTTGTGACGATGGTTGTTGCATGTGTTGTGCAGACTGTGACGCCCTTGTTTGTTGCTGTTTGGAGATCAGACTGGTATCAAAAAGTGCGTCGGACAAAAACACGTCTAATGTGGCAGCAAAATACACACCAAACTACTCAAAAACTGAAATATATACAAATAAATCAAACCAAAATAACTCTGGGAAAGACAATTCAGCGTCAACTAAAGCAGGTAATTCTGCTAAGTCAACTATAAATCAGGGAACAAAAAAGTCATCATCTGAAAAAAGTTTGGGTATTAGAAGTACTCAGAGTACACCAAGAGCTCCCAATTCATCAAGGTCTGTCAGTCAGCTACAGTTAGAATACTCTAGCAGCTCCAGTACCAGACAGCTTAAGACAGGCAAACCAACTACCAAAATGAAACCACCATCAGGGATAAGTAGAAAATCAGACACAAAATCAAACACATCAAGCACAAGGTCACTTCCTGGACCACCAACAATACCTCCTAAATTGAAGAGTTCAGATAAAAATAAACTTAAACCTGGCTCTAGAAAAAGAACAAGTAGTGAGCCTTCAGCTAGTGAGTTGAAAGAGGTACCAGTAAAACAGCAAAGTGTCCTTTTACATTCACATTTATATGAAAGCACATATTCTATTGGGTCAGGAAGCTTTCATGGTGGCCAAGATTTAATTCTTGGATTACCTCCTCAATTTGATGCATCATCTCAGGCAGCTTTATTAGATTCTAGTTCTCTTAACAGACATGGTTATTCTAGTTTGCCTCAAATGAGTCCGGGAACCATTCTAGATGGTTCTGGTACCCATAGGAGTTCAGCGGCTGGTTCCACTTTCAGTGTACATTTTGAAGATATTAATTCTCTGGCTTCACCACGACCGTTACCGGGACTACCAGCAAGATAGCAGTTAATCATGATGGAAATGCGTAAGTCTTTAAAACTATTAGATAGACAAATGTATTCTACTGGTAAATAAATTATTGACACCCTTTAAATATAATTATGTTTCAATAAAATAAAACAAAACTTTATTCTACTGAACTGACTTTTTGATATTTTATTTAAAATAAGAGTTGGCAATTTGGGTCTTTTACTAATTTTGTTCCAGCCAGGTAAGTTTAATCATGGATTTATATATTAAACATCAGTGGTTTAATTGAGGTAAGTAAAATTGTTAATAGTTAATTGTTTGTTAATTTTGTTTGTTTGGTTACAACTTACAAGAGATCACATTGACATTTTAATAATACAACTTAAAGCATTACTTTGTCAAATCGGATTTAATACTACATTTAAGGGGTTTGTTCCTAAAACAAGATACTATTATATAATACAATGAATTAATTTCATTTTCCTACGTAACAACAACGTTAAATGATGCATTGTGCTACTGCATTTTAATTGATCCAGTGCCCTTATATTATATTATACATAATTAAGCATGATTTGTTATGATTTTAACAAATGTAGTTTACTAGTATGGTGAAACAAAAACAAAGGCATTGATACTGTGCATTTTGCTAGATGATTTATGAATGTTGAAATGTGGAATTTGATAACAGATATGTATCTAGTCAGCTTTAATAACCCAATGATTTAAGTGTAATGTGTGAAGATTTTGTAGAAAGTTGTCTGCCTAGCTATAACTAACAAAATGTTGGTGCTCTGTGCACCTGAGATAATTTATGCAAATCTGTTTAGGCTTTACTTTTGTGTTTGTACCTAAAGCATGTCTGTTTTGCCAGAATTTTATGCTAAAAGATGAAATTGATCCATGTAAACTTTTAAAATAACATCACAATTTTGATGTATATTTCAGACATTACAGTACATATTTTGTTGTCCGTTGAAGTGTGCAGCGGAACATTGTTTGATCGGTAAACCAGAGACGGCGATACCAAAGTGGCAGTATGAAGGCAAAACTTTCTGGGAGTGGACTAAATCGAAGATGGGTTACTCATTGAAATGTACAGACTGTGCCTGCATGACGTGCTATAAATTGACGGAAGATGATTCTAATATTTGTTCATCATTCAGGGCTTGTTGGTCAGACATTCGGGCCAAAAAACCTTTGTCCTGTAAGTGCCTTGAGAATGATTGTACAAACCCGTTAACAGCTTTGTGTTCAAGAATTAGTGACTGGAAGTGTCTAAAATGTGCCAAAGACAATGACAGTTTAAGTGTGTGTGACAGTTGCAATTTCTTTTCTGTTGTTAAGTCAGAACCTTTTATATGTCCAACTTACAAAATGAGAGTAAGTGCTAATTTAAGAGATATGACACGATGTCCGAGTTGCCCGGACCATGTGCTTTGTTTCACGTGCGTAGAGGATCAGTTTGTCAATTGTTGTTGTCATTACGTGTTTTTTAATAGGTGCGGTGATCCTTACTTCCGTTACGATGACAAAGAAGATATCTGCTCGTTTAGAGAATCCAACTTTTGTTCGTTCATGTTTCAAGTTCTTTTAAACATTCCACGTCTTCTATGTTTTGGTTGTGTAGGGCTGTGTGAAAACAATGTCAGATGTTGTTACTTCACTTCTATTAACTTTGCTAGTCTACTATGCTGTAAATGCTCAGATGAGGAATTTTGCCTCAGTTATACGTGTCTATGTTTCGATTGTGAAAAGATCACGAAAAAGGAAATAGGTCAGACGAATGAAGACTTACAGAGCTGCAAATGTGGTTGTTGTATTTACATGAAAAGAAAGCATTATCCATTTCTTGATTTTGATATTGACATTAAGGAACCAGTAGACTCTGTTCAAACCACCAGTGATGAAAGCCTTGTAAACACTCAACCTAAAGCAAGCAGAGAAGCAATTTATCTTGACAGTCATAGAATTAATTCAATGTTTGAAATTGTTAATGAGACACAAGAGAGCTTTGATGAGTCTTCAGATAAAACAAATCTTGTTTCCAAGAATGAGTCTTTAGATAAAACAAATCTTGTTTCCAAGACAAATCTTGTTTCCAAGAATTCTAAAAGAAAAAGCCAGCAAGGAAGAAGCTCTGTTAGTAAATCAGCTATACATGCACACCATGATAAAGGTAGAAATGTCAATTCAGAATTGGATACTTCTAGTGAGAGTAGCTTTTCTTATCTTGATGTTAAACAAATACATGCATTGCAGAAGAAACTAATATATAGTGATGATGAAATAGACCCTGAGGTAAAGGAAATTGATGATACAGATGTTGTGAAAAGAAAACAAAGAAAAGGCCATTTTGATAAAAGTGGTGGGAGAAAGAGACAAAATATTTCTAGAAGTTCTGGTGGTGGAAGAAAGAGACAAAATATTTCTAGAAGTTCTATGTCGAGAGAAGATTCTTTTGAGGCACCTAAATTTCATAAAACAGGTATTTTGAAAAGTGAATCAACTACACTAGGTGATGAAAACTGTGACACTGAATCAGAACCATTTTCAATATATAGCAGTAGTAGAGAAAATGAACATAGAACCAGAAAAAAAGCTCATTTTGCAAATGAAGATGCAGTATTGATAAAAGAACTCTTCCCAGTTAAAGACTCTGACACAAGTTTAAATGGAAAGCTAGTTTCAGAAATTTCCAATGAAATTTACGAAAGCAATGCAGATGTTAGTTGCAAAAGAAAGAGAAAAGTGGATGATAAGAAATTAAGGTCAAGGAAAAAATCAACTACAAGCAGTTCCCGTGGCAATGATCTTGGAAGGTCACTTAGCAAATCAAACAGTTCCATTGGCACTGATCTTGGAAGGTCGCTTAGCAAATCAAACAATTCCAGTGGAAATGATCTTGGAAGGTCACTTAGATCCTATGGCAATGATCTTGGTATGTCGCTTAGCAAAACAAACAGTTCCAGTGAAAATGGTCTTGGACGGTCGCTTAGCAAATCAAACAGATCCCGTGGCAATAATCTCGGAAAGTCACTTGGCAAATCAAACAGTTCCAGTGGCAATGATCTTGGAAGGTCACTTAGCAAATCAAACAGTTCCTTTGGAAATGATGTTGGTAAGTCACTTAGCAAATCAAACAGTTCCATCAGAAGTGATCTTGAAAGGTCAACTTGCAAATCAAGCAGGTCCGGTGGAAATGATCTTGGTAAGTCACTCAGCATATCAAACCGGCTCCTTCACTCTGAACAGAATTTCAACGGCAGTAAAACAAAAAGATCTTCAAGGAAGAAAACAAGTTCTGGTAAGAGACAGGCCATTGAAACTGAAGAATTAAGAAAGTGTGATGATGTTGTAATAGTTGAATATGATTCATCAGAGGAATATTTTGCTGTGGACAAAGATTTTGTTGTAGACAAAGTATCATGTAAAGAGGACGAAATGAAAATAGAAGATATAGAGGACCTGTCAGATTAAAGAAAATATTATCTATTAGACAGAGTTATGATGGATAGTAAACTGACCAAATAAAAATAAAGCAGTCTTTGATAGATTAGCACAAAAGGGAGGTAACCACATTTAATGTAAAAGGGAAGTAATCATATTTATTTAAAGCTGAAATAATGAGGTATAATATTAATTTTCATAGAAGGCAGTTTAATCTGAAAACCAGTCTTGTAGTTGTACAAATTCTTTTATGTTTAATGTGGAAATGTTTGTTTGAAAATAATTTCACTTTATGTTAATTAACCTAACATAAGAATGTGTTGTTAGTAAGTAATGACTTTAGATAATGTATTGATTTATCACTTATCAGATGATTGAAATGCAGGGAAATATTTGTTAAATTATTGAATGTATGTCTGTATTGAATGAGCTAGAAATAGTAATTTGTGCTTAGTGATATTTTTAAACCTCGTGCTTGAGTGGTTAAGATATAGATTTATTAATTTTTTTCGACTGTTCTATTGTTTAAACTTTGTTCATTCAGTCACATGTATTTGGTAACAATAGTAAATTATAGTTATATTTTACTTTTTGGCCGTCCAATGTTAGTTTATAGTTATATTTTTCTTTTTGGCCGTCCAATTCTTTTTTTCTTCACTGTTTTATGTTGTTGTTTAGTATTTTATAAAATTATTATTATCAATATGTTTTTACATTATATTATATTATATAATAAATAAATTTGGGCACTATTTTTATCCATGTATTTTTACATTCATTGTGCCTTACTTAACAAAGTTGTAGAGAATTATGTTGGATATTTAGTTAGTATTTCAAAGAATCTCTTCATAAATTGTTTCTTTTATGTCTATTATGAATGGTATATTATACATATACAAATACTTACAAATTATTTAAAGGTAAATAGTTTTATCCTCTTTGTCTAATTGAAGCTCATTGTTGGATTTGTGAATGTTGGCGTAATAATTCTTTCTATTAGCAGCTTCAACATTACTTAAAGACATTGTCAACCAAACTTTTGCAGAAAGGTTGTCACTAAGTGCCTTGAAGCATATTATCTGAATATTATCTGAATGTCATTTGATTATTTTGGGCAAAATTTTGGCCCATCTTTTTTCACATATGTAAATTTGGTTGTAAACCAGATTTTGTAACAATATATTATATTGGCAGTTGTGAATATTTTTTTGTGAATTTTTTCAGTAATTCATTTTGAGATTTTCCATTTAAAAATGTTATGATGCCTTATCAGAGGCTGGTATAGTAATCAAGTATTTAGCATTATTAAACACTAAGTAATTTTATACCTGTTTTGATGTGTAGCTTCAGTTATCAATATAAAGGTTACCATCCAAGGTCCATCACTCTTGCTTGAATTTTTACTGAATCATGGCCCTTTGTGAACAAAATTCCTGGTTTAACGTTCAAAACTATTGAAGGCATTCACTTCAGACTTATAAAATTTCAAGTCCAATAACTCGGGTGTATTTTGATTTTTTTATGGCCCTTTGTGAACTTGCAAATGTACTTGGGAACATAACTTAAGGTCACTGTCCAAGGCCCATAACTCTCAGATGTATTTGACTGATGGCCATTTGTGAACTAAGAAAAAAGCTTTTAGTTAATGGTACTGACAACACCAATCTTGAAAGCTACTGATCTTTATTCAACACGTTTTTGTGATCATAATTTAAGGTTGTAGGGAAGGCCCACAAATTGCTCCTTTTTTTTATAATGAAAAACCCTTTTTCCCTGTTGTAAAAAACAATTTTTTTGATTCAGCACTGGGTTTTTTTGTCAACCCCAAAACCAAAAAGTTGAGTATTTAGTTTCCCAAATGACAGTTTTTGTTTAAAAATAGGCACTATTTAAATAAATTTTTTGTGAAAAGTAAAATTTTTAGAGTGGGTTTAAAGGTAATGATTTTTGCCTCAACCTAGGAAATTTATGGGGGTTTTTCCTTTTAAAATTTGGATAAAACCCATCTTTTTCCCCATATGAAATAGTACTGGTTAAGTTTTGGCCCAAAAAGGTTTTTTTAAAAGCCTTGAGCCTTCAAATTTTAGCCCAAATAAAATTTTATTAATAATTTAATAAACCCAAAAAAATTCAAGAGTTTTACATGTAAATGTATAATGATTTTTCTTTCACCAGTTTGAGCTGGAAAGATGCCATAATGACTTGTAATGTTTAAACCATCTGCTTTAATAAAACCCAAGGAAAACCAATCTTACATCTACATTGTATATCCATATATTGGTTAAGGCATTAAGTTACGAGTCAATACGTCATTTATCAAAAGACATTTATTGTTTGTTTAGGATTTATTGGCATATTTAAATCTGATATTATCTCGACAACTTCCTGATAGCCTACAATTATTTATTATATATTAACCTGAAGCAGAAAATGTTAAAATGATATAATTGTTAAAAATACAGAATAATTGTTTATTTGTAAGTTATAATGCCTCGTTTATTAAAACAGGTCATCATAATTCATACTAAACTATCTACATGTTCAATTTGGCTGCTCATTTTGAAACATTTTGTCATTTTAAAAGTCATTAAAAGTAATAATGGTGAAAGTGGTTTTTATAGAAATTTAGTAACTGTATCCCAAAGTTACACATAAAAGCAGGGTAGGGGGTTTAATGTTCATGTCAGCATTAGTCATAATTTCATATGTATAATATTTATATCTTTCTTATTTTTGAGAAAGTATGAGTTTAAATAGAGTTACTGATTTTTAGTTCGGAAAAAATTTTGTATGCATATTGGCATGTCCAAAACTATAATGAAGGTTTTACACACTTGTTCTCAGTGATTATTTAACATATTTGGCACAGGTCACATAACTCTGAATTATCTTTTTACAGAGTTATTCCACATTCTTACTCTCGAGCACTGAGAATAGTCGAGCATGCTGTCTTACAAACAATTCTTGTTTAAAAAATTTTAACATGCATAATTTATACTTATTTAATGTGACAGTTCAATTGAAATGTTCCCTGTTGTTATCTTACCTAAGCAAATATAAACAGAGGAAAATTTTTCAAAAAAAAATTTCAAATTTTTTTAAGAAGTTTATTCAAAGTAAAAAATTTTTCTATATTAAAAAAAAAAGTGTTTTGTTTTTAACCCCTTTTTTTAAAGGGGAGTAAACATTTATTTCCCTACCCGTAAATTATGCTAAGGCATGGGGGGTTTTTTTTTAAAATTATTTTTTTTTATATTTTCGGGCTTTTTTTTTTGTTTTTATTGGTTTTATTTTTTAAAAGACCCCTTAAAAGTTTTAAAATTTCTATTCTCTTTTATTTGTCATTTCGCAAAGGGCTTGAAAAAACCCTTTTTCCCAAAGATTTTTAACCAAATTCTAAAAGAAATTTTCTTTTAGAGTTTTTATTAAAACATTAAATGTAGTTACCCCTGTAAATTTTTAAAAAAATTCTTTACGTGCCAAAAAAAAAATAATTATAAACCCTAAACAAAAAATTAAACGCCTATATTTGGATTAATAAGCAACCAAGATGGCACAAAAGTTAACTTGCAAGAACCTTCACTGCCTTCTGTCTGTATGTCTGTCCGTCCGTCTGTCAGTTCATTTAGATTTACTCTGACTGATCAAAGTTCTTCATAGTTTTCCTGGTGCAAAGATTTCTTATTCTGTTAAATATACATTTCTTTAACTTTTTAAACACTACCAATGATACTGTTAAGCCTGTTTTACCTGTATAAAACCAAGCCAGCCTGAAAATGTGTACAATCAGGCTTTATAGATTGGTTGTTCAGTTTATTTTTATATTAAACCCCTTAAAATGATAATTGATAGTTTTAAATGAAAAACAAATCCAGGGCAAAACTAGTATACAAGTCAAGGGTCATAGAAATAACTTGCTAAAATTAGATAAGTTTATCACAAATTCATTTTAGTTGATTGTATTGGAAGCTTGCCACTTGCTTGATTATTGAAATACAGTCAGACTATAGTTGATAAAAACTTTTGATGTTAATAAAAACCTAATATTTGCATGATAATTGTACATTCAATATTGAATACATCTAGTGCCACATATAAAGTTCATCTGCATTGTTTGTTCACTTTAAGACTCCTGATTATGTGGGGCTTGGATCTGAAACCCTTTTAGTGTTTTTCTTTATTGTATTTTCAAAAAATTATGTAAACTCTGTTAATGTATACTGTTAGATATTTAATTGATAACTTATTGAATAAAACCATTGTCTTTAATTGACTGTTGTTGTTTCATAATTAAAATGTATGTCCTTATGAAATTTGGTTTGTTTCTAATGCAGGTTTTTTTCATTTAGAGCCAGTAAGGTCAAAGTCATGAGCCAGTAAGGTCAAAGCCATATTTAACTTCTAAAGTAAACTCAATATTTACAGTGGGTACTTGCGTAGTATCAATTTTCGTCGGCAACCTAGGCTATTTACCGTGTACCAGTATTATATATAGTGCCGTGGGTTCCAAAGATGATCAAATTAAGGTCTGGTGATGATGTAAGAAAGGCTTGTATACATACATGCTGTTAGATTGTCTGTAAAACTCCAACAAGGGTCGATACATGTATATAAATGTTACAGCATAAATAAAATGAAAAGAAGACAAAAATTAAACAAAAATAGTAACATTTTATTCCAATGAAAGACATTGTTGCAAGAAAATATACCTTTGTAACTTATATTACAATGAGATTGATGGGTATAAAGCTATATATCTATAGAAATATTCTTTTATAAAATCTATAAACGGTTAAATTTATCGTTTCCGTAATCAATTCTCAAAAAAAAAGGTGTCTTATTTAACACAAATAAATTGTGTACGTTAACTGAATAAAATGTTTCGAAACTACTTTCTACGGTGTATTTTAAGCGGGGTTTTAACTATTTAGCAATTATTTCGTGCATGCGCCATTCACTGGGTAAAATACGAACATATTTCTTTCATACAGGTATTTTGAAGATATTCTTCAAACAGCGGATATGTAAACTACAGGCAGCATATTTATACAATCATACAAGCTCTATACAACCAGACAAGCTCTTTAAAATCAAACCATTTCTGTACAGCCAGACAAGCTCTATACAATCATACAAGCTCTATACAACCATACAAGCTCTTTACAATCAAAACAGCTCTACAATCATACAAACTCTGTATAATGATACAAGCCCTGTACAATCATACAAGCTCTGTACAATCATACAAGCCCTGTACAATCATACAAGCTCTTTACAATAGTACAAGCCCTGTACAATCATACAAGCTCTATACAATCAAACAAGCCCTGTACAATCATACAAGCTCTATACAATAGTACAAGCCCTGTACAATCATACAAGCTCTATACAATCATACAAGCCCTGTTCAATCATACAAGCTCTATATAATAGTACAAGCCCTGTACAATCATACAAGTTCTATAAAAGCTCTATACAATCATACGAGCCCTGTATAATCATACAAACTATTCTAGAATTGTTGACGGTGGCAAGAATTGAAGTATAACTTGAAATGATATGGTATGGACAGTCCATAGCATGTGTTGCTTGAAATATTAAAAATAAAATTTACAATCAGTTAACTATGACGCTAGTAAAAAGTATAATGTTGTGATTATTAATGTTAAGCAAAAGGGCTAAACAAAAGCAGCGATTCTGCAATATATTTATCGAAATTTCATACCTGCGGTCCATGAATTTACCAATTTACCAGGTATTGCAATAGTCTTAAAAACGATAATTTTGCTAAAAGCCTTGTAAATATAATTATAAATGCTGAACTACATTAAATTTTGCAATCTGTCTTCTGTTATATTATAATGATGACCTTGCAACACGACTTCAAGTAAAGTTAAAAAAAAAAAAACAACAAACAAGCAAACAAAAACCCAACATATTTACAAATGTTTAAAAAGAACTTGCATTGTTTTACAACAATCAATATGATTTGTAAAACAATATCCAAAACAAAAATAAAACACATTTTTCCTTAACTCACCATTAGATGGTTATTTGTTTACAGTTATTTATACAAATATGGCACATAAAGATCTACAGAATTCGAAAGCATGTGCATGGATCGAACATCTCAGCTTCATGACTTCTCCATATTATCTTCATGAAGTTGTAATGCCCCAACCGTATTTCGTTAGAAAACTATTGATCTTTTTACAGTACGATTTTCCCATAGTTGCGGATGTTGTATGTCACGCATGCGCATTTTGCGTAGGGCAAAAATGCAATAAGGAAAGACTACAATTTATCATACTTGGCTAACCACCATTCAGAATCTATGAAATGTTTTTTTAGAGTTTTTATTTATTTGGTATAATCCAAAATAACTGAAAATATTTTTCTCTTACGCAACCCAGCATTGTTACACAGCTTGTTTATAGTTGCCTTTAAAATCGTTTAATATTAGTTGCAGAAAAAAAGAAAATGACACGAATAAAAATAAAATGAATATTTTAAAATGGTTAAACTTTCGACACTAAACAATAGCCGCAAAAATTAAAGAAAATTTGAAAGTATTTCAGCATTCGTTTAATTAATAAAACAACAATCATTTGTAAAACTAGTCATTAAAATACTGTCGGAGCACTCGAAACATTCTTGTATAATATACCTTCACGATAGTTTGAAACTTTTGTAATGAAAAAATCAAACTAGAAGGAAAATATTTGTAATATAGCATATTTTTTGGAATTCTAAAGAAAATATAACTGATCCTGTTTGCGTTATATTCTTATTGACTAATTCACATTTTACCTCCCGTACATTAGCATCTAATTGGTTCGCACGTTCGCCTCGTAATCAATGATGTTCCTGAGCTAATGGTATCTAGCCAATTACATGTGATGCTTTTTATGAGGAAATGATTGTCAAAGCATTGTATATATATATATCACAGATATGCAAAACTTTGTATTGAAAACAATACACTCTAAATACAATGAATTATTCCTATTAATTTCCGCAGTCTTAATTAGGTTCTAATTTGTACTCCGGAGGTGGTGGGTATGCCGACGTGTCCGTTTGACTGTATGGTGGCGGTTGTATCGGAGTTTGACCGTATGGTACAGGATTTCCATACGGTGGCTGACCGTAAGAGTAAAATTGACCGCTATTGTAGTTTTGGCCACGTGACGGTATTGTAAAATTTTGGTAAGAGTTATGATTTGTCTGCCCCACAGTAGATACTGAAATGGAAAAAATAGCCAAATTCGTGATATAATTAATAATTACCCCAAAAAGGACTTTGACAGCTTTCATTTTGAATCAGTCAACAAGGTGTTATTACTGTTTAGAGATATCAGGGTGGTAATAGAAGTTAGTAAGACAAAAGTGGGCAGGGCTGGACGGATATAGCACGTATATGTTCAAGCTTGCTCAACTAAAGGCTTTCCACTTTCCATTTCAAATCTGTAAGCTTTATTGTAATAAAACATGTAAAAAAAAACATCTTTATGTAGAAAATTTGAGTCTGGCATTACTGAGTTGTACAACTATTTATAAATAAATGTACATTCCGAGAATATGACGATAGCTAAATATTTTCATTCAATAGTTTTTAATTATAACTGAATAAAAGGTGTAAAAAATCTAACCCTTATCCTAACGTTAACAATAATTAAATTTACGTTGCATTGCAATAGGTTAAATGTTTTTCACAATTTAATTTCATTTATGTGAATAAATGTTCAACGTGGCTATAAAAATCGTCATATTGACTTACTATTAACATTTTGTTGATTCACTGGTCGTACAAGTTGATTTGGTCTTAACTTCTTCTTTTTGGTGATAAGAATTGAACAGAACACACAAATGGAAACAAAAAATATAGCTGCAAACACAATCCCAATTACTGTAGCAGACGACACTCCATCGGCACTAAAAATACAAAAATAATATATACATGTATGTATATGTACAATTCATGACGTTCAATAGTTGTGGTGGTGGTGGTGCATGGTAGTTTTCACTCCGGGTCACGACAGTAAACCACATTGAAGTCACCAGAGCACAGTTCAGCCACCGCATCCTTAATTCCTGGGCAGGCTGTCAAGCAGTTTATCAGTACAAGATGACTTCACTTTAGCAAGGAACTGAAACTTCTGTACATGTCAGAGCAGAGGTGTAGTGCGAATGACCGTAGAAAGGATTTCATGATCAGTTACAACGAAAGTGACCTGCGCCGTCTGGGAATCGAACCCGGGTCGCCCGTTTCACAGTCCAAAGCTCTACCTATTCTAACCGGACAGCTCGTTCATTAGTTCAAAATAAGGAATCAGTATTTATATAATAATTAAAATTATCCGTTACGTTTTAGTATAATATGATTACGTCAAATGAACATGAATAAAAATTCAACAAATCCTGTTTTATTATTTCAATTTATTCAACACATGGCGGCCAATGGGAGGTAAAAATAGAAAATGCACGAATATAAAATGTATAGCCACAAAACCATTTGAGTAAGTGGAAATTGATAATTTGTGTTTTTGGGTTGTTTTTTTTTTAAATATTTTTAGATAGTTGATCTTTATGCGGGCTCACTTTGTCAGAGGGTTATATGATTGTTCAACGAAAGCAGGTGATTTTAGAAACGCAATGCAAAATGCAAATTGACCGTATGCAATTTATGAAAATGAGACATTTGCATACGGAACACCTCGCCGATATTCAAAACCTTAAACAAAGTATGGCGAGAAAGTTGGTTTTGTAGATATTGTGTCTCACCAGCATTTTCTGTTTCCATCACAACAATGATAGCCGTGGTCACAGTATGTGTATGTTGATCCTTGAACGTCACAGATATCCCGGTCCCCTGATACTCCTTGTCCTGAAATATGTTATATTTTGTTAGAGTATTGTTTAAACTTGAAAAACCGTGTTCCATATATATATACGTGTTCATTTATACGTATTTATATATACTCGTTCATATACATCGTGTTCATATTTATACTATTAGTTATAAAGATTGTTGACAGGTTGTATGGCCCTATATAAACGGTTGCTTGAAAATATAACCCGAGCCGCCAGGCGAGGGTAATATTGCAAACAACCGTTTATATTTGGCCATATAACCTGTCAACAATTTTTATAACGAATTTATAATACTGCAAACTTCCTTTTCTAGAGAAAAAAGTGAGAGTTCTTTGTAAATTGATAGCGGTCGTGTATATTATTAGTTATACCGGTATTATGGTTATATGGCCCTGATATAAACGGCTGTTTGGAAATATAACCCGAGCCGCTAGGCGATAGTTTATATCGCAAACAACCGTTTATATACGGTCATATAACCTGTCAGGAAAATTTATAACGAATTTTTATAATACAGCAAACTTCCTTTTTTGAGAAAAATGTGAGATTTCTAAGAAAATTGACAGCAGCCGTGTTTATAAAGCCGCTCACCCACGGACGCCTTATAGTGTAACTCAAAACATAACATAATATGTAATTCCTAGTTTTAATAAAGCTTAGCTACACAAATTCCTTTGTAAAATCAGTATAACCAAACGTACATAGTTAATAATTTGAAATGAACATGTTTATTTTTTTTTTAAGAAAATATGCTTTTTTAAGTTTATTCTTTAAGATGACATCTTAATTCTTTAAAATAGCATATTTTTGTTTATACTTTAAAAGTACATGTTTTTAAGAGAACGACATGACTAATGACTAGATATTCCTAAAGAGAACATCATTATTCATATCTAGAGCATGCTTATTTTTAAGGGAACATCTTTACTCTTTGAAAGGACGTTTTAAAAAAATGCATTTTATGTTACAAGATATAGTATTATGCAATGAGATAATATCCTAAAAGATACAGAAAAATATGTTCTGTTCAAGATAAGTGATATGTTATGCATGTATTTCACGAGTTTGTTTTTGGGTGGTTTTTTTTTTTTTTTTTTTTTTTTTTTTTTTTTTTTTTTTTTTTTTTTTTTTGGTTGTAAATGTTGTATAAATTCCAACACAATCGAACCAATAAATTAGATAATTACTACTTACGACTGTGTAAATCCCGTCATGGTTTTGGTATCATTACCGGATTATTATAATATTGTTATAATATGGTGTTAAGAGGATTAGATTCAAGTGGGAAAATAAATACTCAAGTAAATACGTAAACTTTATTGTTTAAATTAGCAATCACGTGTTCATTTATTTTTTTTTCGTTTTGAAGCTGGAGTATTCGAAGTGTATCGAGAGCTGTCTACTCATCCCGGCGTCCACGTCCAGATTTCACATTAAAGTTTTGGTGCTTATCTTTTTTTACTTAAGGTATCAACTTTAAACTTCAAATATATGTCCCTTATTATCAACAACATCATATGTGTGAATAAAGTTAAATTAATCCAAGTGCTCTTTTTATAATATACGAGAAAATGACAAGGGTTTTAACTCTAGCACCAATAGTTTCAGAATTATCTCCCCATAAACTTAGATTTGTCTTAAAAATGTTATTTTTTACTGTAACTTCTATATTACTTAAGGTACCTACTTCAAACATATAATTATGTTCCTTATCATCAACCACATGATTTGTGACACGATTCATACATATCTCTATTCATTCTATTCATTCTTACAGAATTACCCCCCCCCCTCTTGAACTTAGAATTTCGTATTAAAAAATGTTATTTATTACTTTAACTTCTTCTTTTCTAATGGTATTTACTTCAAACTTCAAATATTTGTTGCTTATTATCACTCACATTATGTGTGACACGTCGGACAAGTAATCTAAGGATTGCTGGTCGCGTGAGTTCAAACCCCGTCAGGGGCAAGCCACCGTTTCCGTGACCAAGGAAGTTTACATTTATTGCTTAGTACTGGTTGGCTTAGGAAGCTTATAGCTTCCTACACTTCCTACTCAATCGAACTAAATAAGTATTAACTAATATTATATTAACACTTAAAGTCAAGAGATTTTTTAAGCGGAGAAAAGATTATGTTTGTTAAAATGACGTTTTGTTTTTCATATATTATTGATCTTAAGAAAATTAAATATTTATTATATACTCTAAAACCTTAACATATGACAACGAGTTCTTAAAGTGTTTTTTTTTTATACATAGAAACGCTAAAAGATAGCCGTTAGCCACGTAAAATAAATTTCGCATAAAAGGGAGCGTTTTGTGAATTAAATAGTTGTTACTATTTAACAAGTTAAAAAGTTTAAGTTTTACGCTTGAGCTATAGATATCTGTTAAATTTTCTGCATTTTATTGACATAATGCTGCTTGATCTGGTTTGATTTATTGTACAATTAGGGTACATCTATTTAACCCAAAATTCATTCCTTCATTTTACATAATCATTTTTTTAAACATTTTATATAACATTTTCAAAAGGCAAACACATTAAAAACCGTAAATATATAAATTATATATACCTACCATGGTAAAATATTACTCCAAGTATCACAGAAATAAACGTTTCTTTCCTGTTCATCTTTAACATACACTGTATTTCCGCCTAATTGTTGACAAAAAACAAAATCCCTCTGTCTTTTCCGTGTAATTTTACATGTTTTAATCCCAAATTTTAATTAACTATTTAAATGTTTATCGCGCTTTCGTGTGAAAGAAATATATAAATAGGTCGGTGTATATAGTACCAAACTGTCTAAACTGTTTAAACGATTAAAGAATATTGATTTCAAGTTTGGTGACGTCGGTATTCTTTTGAAAGTTTACTCTGATATAAAAATGTATATATGTATACTGGGTGTATATTTATTTGAACAAGGAAAACAAAACTCAAATTTTCATTACAAGCGTACATTTAGATGACTTTTAAGAAGAGGAAGTGAAGCGAACTCCTGTATTTAACCGGGGTATCATTTTACAACACACAAGTCTTGTTCCCGCATCAACGTATTCCCTTTTGATTGTTTGACATAAAGGACACGTACATTCATGCACGTGTGTAGCAATAATTGGTTAGAATTCATCATTTCCATTTCAATGACGAACTTAATCTTACAGTATCTTAATTAACTTAAGATTTTATCTCAAAGAAATAGACTTTGCAAGTGTTATTTACATTGCATCCAAAAAACAAACTTGAAAGCCATGGCTATCTAAAATATAATTATGCTGATAATTTTAAACTACTTGGACCTTTTTTGTCCTTTTTTACATACTATCACGTAAAATAAACTTTATACTTAGCCAAAAATCAAACTACAAAATGTGGATTTATCAAATATGTGACCAACACGGAAAATAATCATGAATTATCGCCCCACGGAATGTCATTTCGTAACACCTCTTAAACAATTCCTGAGTTCGGAAATTCCATGGTCTTCCGTCATCTGTCTGTCCGTCTGTCACAAACTTGTCCGGACTACTCCTCAAAAACTACTAGTGCAATTTCATCCCAACTTTACATGAATGGTCAGTACCAAGTCTAGTTGTGCATATTGTCGGCATTTTCCGAGTCAATGTGGTTATGACCCTTTAATGATTTTGATTTTTAAAGTTAATCCTCTTATACCACTCATGCAATTTCAATGAAACTTTACAGTGTTGAACCTGAAGTTTAAGGAGTACTGAAACTAATTATGTATTGTTTTACATAGATAACATGCTAGATAACAGTATGGCTAATCTTTATCACAGCAATCGTGATGACAAAACTGAACAGCCCTGGTTGACTTAAAGTTTAACTTAAAATAGTAATGCATTAATTTTGCATAATTATATATTAGATCAGCCAGAACTTCTAATTAAGATTAAACCGATAATGACTAATTGGACATTGAAATGTGATAACCGTATGTATAAAATATGAGGTAAAATTTATACCAAACACGAGCAAAAAACAATACAAACTTATCAGAGCGTCTCTAATATCTTTCTGTGTGAATCAGTATATCAACGTGCTCAAAGTTTTGCACAAGAATGATACTCTGAGTCTGTGTTTGTTTTGTATGATTTTACGGCCCATCAAGACTATTTAGGTCTTTTGGCGTCGAAACCGGAAAGTTGATTTTGGCTAACCTCGGGTGCTACACCAGGGGTCAAAACCGTCTTATCTGCTGGAGCTAAGAGATTCATAGACATATAATAGATGTACATCTGTAAACAAATTCCACTTAATGTCATATGGTTTCGGTTTCTATAACCATAATAATAAGTATATAATTAATGTACTCTTTTTAATTACTTAATTAATATAGGTGTACCTTAATTTACTCGATATATTGGAAAAATCTTAGTCAACAACTCACAGCATTAAATTACTATTTGTTTGCATGACCGAAATACCGTATCCGTTCCGTGTATTTTTAGTCCCTCTCTGAAGCTTGATGGAATAAGGGGCGAGAAGATGCGATTGGTTATTGCACACAATGTTGGCGCCTTATCGTGCACAATGTTGGCGCCTTATCGTGCACAATGTTGGCGCCTTATCGTGCACAATGTTGGCGCCTTATCGTGCACAATGTTGGCGCCTTATCGTGCACAATGTTGGCCCCTTATCGTGCATACTTAAAATTCAATTCTAGGTTAGTCGATATATCTTGAACATTGTAGAACAATCCAGTTTAAAGTTTCATGTATTTCACATAATGATGATGAATTCCTCTCAAATAGTGGTTATCACCTTAAAGCGGTACATTAGGACTTTTAGTCATCATTTGAAGAACTAAGTCGCATTTACATGCCATCACGGACTTCTAATTATCGTATAAATTTAACCTTTTCTTTATTCCTTTATTCTTCATTTACAGTCACTATATACAGTATAGCTGTTTGACACGCATTTTATTTAATGTCATTTTAAAGAGAAAAAAGGATTACAATGGCAATAAAATAAAATTACACTTTATAGAGTGTAATGATCGAGATAAAGTAATTTATATTTGCTCAATGTGTTTTTGTTTTATTGCTAAATGTTATTTTGTGTTTTTTATGGGGTCTGTCACAGGAGTTATGACCACTTTCTATATGTAAGTCTCTGTTCTAGCACAAGAGCAAGGAAAATGATATTCGATTTACTATAATATTTTGATTTTCTTAAGTCCTCCAAATAACCACATATCTCGCAGTCACATGAGTGCGCCTTTCCGTTTTAAAGCATTATTTCTGACTTTAAATATTTACCGGAAATTACGTGTTTTACCACGTGATCGGACAAGTTCCGGCTAGAAGTCAAAATGGATTTGCTAGCGAACTATGACGATGAAAATACTGAAGATAACTCAATATCAGATAGTCCCAAACAAAAGGAGGTGTGTTAAATCGTTTAAGTACATAACATGTATTGAAAGTATACAAATTTTACTTAGTATCAGTTAAGTGACAAGGCTAATTGAAGTGGAAAACTATGGTGGTGTAACAGTAAAACCTTGTTAAACCAGGATGTTTTTTAAATCATAAATGATCATTGATAATTATAAGAATCTATATCTTATGTTCTCTTAATTGTTTCTTATTCTGTTTAGCAAAGATAATTTGATTAGATTCAGTAGACATAATCTTAAATATACAGAAATATACGTTTGAATTTGTCAGTGGTAATGATTCGCCCCACTCACTATTCGTCCCACAGAATTTCAAAATTTGTTGACGTTTCACCTACAGCTATTTTCAACTTACAGGTGTTTTGAATTATTAAAAAAATAAAACATTATAATTAATTTCATGAATGAAATAGAATAATAAAGAGTCAAAATTATTTTTGTTTTGTATCAATTCTGTGAATGTAGAACAAATGGTGTTTGGACTTTACACCTCCTGGATGTTTCACCCTTGGACGTTTCACCTTCAAAACCCAGGTCTTTTCACCTCCACTTTTTAAATTTGATAAATATATGAAATAAATACCATTATGGGTAAACATCCTTGTAAACAATTACATTCATGATATAAAGAAGATTTTTTTGACATAAATATAGTGAAATTTTCCTGGAAAAATATTTAGAATAAAATATGATACCATTTTTATTTTCTTATTATTTTTTATAAAATAGAAAATAAAATTATATGATGAAAATAACAGTGTTTATTATAATGTTATGTTATTGTATAGTGCATACATTGTAGATATAGTAATTGACTCTGAATAAAATTTAGTAAATCTGATCATTTTGTTTTTATATGTTTTTCATACATGGATAAATATTTGGTAAATTTTAATTGAACAAGAATATCATTTTTTAAATAAAATTTCTTAACCAAAAATTCAAAAAACAAATAGATCTATTTATCATGCAAATTTATATGAAATTGAGTTATCTCAATTATCACTCAATATAATCCAATTAAGGTGTAACAACTAAGGTATGTCAAACAAGTTTACTGATATTAATATTAAAAAAAAAGGAGGTGAAACATCCAGGAGGTGTAAAGACCAAAGGTGAAACGTCCAGGAGGTGTAAAGACCAAAGGTGAAACGTCCAGGAGGTGTAAAGTCCTGAAATCGAACAAATCAAATGATTACTGTTGCTTAGAAGTTAGCTTGCTATGCATTTATTTGATGACAAGTACTGAAGTAGTGCTGTTGTATGTGACAGAGTTCCTATTCCTGAAATTGAGGGTGTTACTGCATCATGTAAATAAAGGTGTATAAAAAACAAATTTATGTAAATAAAAATAAACAAAAAAGGCAAAAAAAAAAAAAAATTAAAACTAAAAATTAAATAATTTATCCCATTCCTTTACCAGCATGTATTTTTCAAACATTCCAATAATATTTTAAAACCATTCAAGCAAACAATAAATAAACAAGAACTTTATATTTAATCTATGATTTTTGATAAAGTTCTGTAGATTTCCAGTGAGAAAAAAAATGTGTTACTTTTAGAAGAGCAGTTTTAATTAACAGGATAATCTGACAATCTGTAACTTTTTTTTACCTTTTTTGTGTGGCTTTAACATGGATATCTTTTTAGGCTATAAAATCATTATTTTTGAGTCTGTTCCCAAAAAATTTGATGCATACCCCTAACATCGGTCATTCAGTAGTACATGCTCTTTAAAAAGGCCGGTGGGCAACCTGAGTGATCATGTCAGTTGTAAATGTTAACCCAGTTTAAATTGGAATACAATATATTATTTATAGTTCATGAGAAACACATAATTAAGGCCATCCTTAAAAAAATGTTTGTTTGCAGTAACCCGACCCAGACTTTTCAAGGTGGGTAGGTAGGTCGATTTTGTTTTTTATGCCCCCGCCATATAATGGCAGGGGCATATAGTGTTACCCTGTTCCGTCATTCCGTCCTTCCGTCCTTCTGTCATCATCAGTTTCCGTTCATTATCTTAATAACCCTTGCACATATTGAACTCAAATTTGACATATGGATATGTCATGAGAAAATACAGGTCAAGTTCGAAATTGGTCATGGTTCGATGATTTTTGGCAGAGTTATGCCCCTTTTACATTGAAAATAATATGAAATTTTCAGTTTCCGTTCATTATCTCCCAAACGGTTCAAAACATTCAATTCAAAATTGACATATGGATATGTCATGAGAAAATACAGGTCAAGTTCGAAATTGGTCATGGTTTGATGATTTTTGGCAGAGTTATGCCCCTTTTACTTTGAAAATAACAGAAATTTTCAGTTTCCGTTCATTATCTCCCCAACGGTACAACACATTCAACTCAAACTTGACATATTGATATGTCATGAGAAAATACAGGTCAAGTTCAAATTTGGTCTTGGTTCGATGATTTTTGGCAGAGTTATGCCCCTTTTACTTTGAAAATAATATGAAATTTTCAGTTTCCGTTCATTAACACCCCAATGGTACAACACATTCAACTCAAACTTGACATATGGATACGTCAAAGGAATGCGCAGGTCAAGTTCAAATTTGGTTATGGTTCAATGATTTTTGGCAGAGTTATGCCCCTTTTACTTTGAAAATAATATGAAATTTTCAGTTTCCGTTCATTATCTCCCCAATCGTACAACACATTTAGCTCAAACTTGACATATCGATATGCAAAGGAATGCGCAGGTCAAGTTCAAATTTGGTCATGGTTCGATGATTTTTGGCAGAGTTTTGCCCCTTTTACTTTGAAAATAATATGAAATTTTCAGTTTCTGTTTATTATCTCCCCAACAGTATTAAACATTCAACTCAAATTTGACATATTGATACGTCAAAGGAATGCGCAGGTCAATTTCAAATTTGGTCATGGTTGGATGATTTTTGGCTGAGTTATGCCCCTTTCACTTTAAAAATAATATGAAATTTTCAGTTTCCGTTTATTATCTCCCCAACAATATTACACATTCAACTCAAATTTGACAAATGGATATGTTTTTGGAATGCACAGACCAAGTTCGAATCTGGTCATGGTTCAATGATTTTTGGCAGAGTAATGCCCCTTTCACTTTGAAAATGATATGAAATTTACAGTTTCTGTTTATTATCAACCCAACAGTGTTACATATTCAACTCAAAATTGACATAATTATTATGGATATGTCAAAGGAATGCGCAGGTCAAGTTGGAATTTGGTCATGGTTTGATGATTTTTTGGCAGAGTTATGTCCCTTTCACTTTGAAAATAATATAGATACATCTTAGGAATAAGCAGTTTAAGTTTGAATTTGGTCGTGGTTCAATGATTTTAGACAAACTTATCTTTCCTGAATGTTGGAAAAAATTTGAACTTTCAGTTTCAGCACTCATACTTTTGTGGAAATGTATATAGCCATTATGTTGGCTACAAATATGCAATATGCTATTTTTAAAAGGTTAAGACTGAATAATTTCAGTGCCTTGAACATTGTATAAAAATGGTTTGAGTTAACATTGAAAAGTTTTAAGGGCTTTGAACTTAGAATGAAAAAAATAATTTGTGCAAACAAATTTGGAACTAAATATTATAACATTTGAAATTTTGGCTGCATGCGGGGGCATCCGTGGCATGATGACACATTTCTAGTTTTATTGAACTGTACTCCCAAATAAACATGGAATTTCAAAATGCTGGACAATATATGCTTTGATAATCTGGTAACAATTAATAAATTGATAACTGAATTCTAATTTAATAAGACCTACATTTTATTTCTTCTATTAACCTTTAAAAGAACAAAAACAAAGCACAAGGCATAATTTTCTGATCATGAAAAAAAATTTTGAGTAGGGGCAAATTTTGTGAGTCGGTTGCGTTACTGCAAACAAACATTTTTTTTAAGGATGGCCTAATTGATAAAATTACTGTTTGATTTTGTTTAATTTTATATTATTGGCTTCTATGAAGATATGTTAACTATTAGAACATGGCAATATTTTATATGATATATTAATTTATTGATGCTTTTATTTACAACAGGTGAAAGGTAAAACACATTTAACCCCAACAGTGTTAGAGAATGAATGGCTCTCCTTTGAACAGATGATAGCACCAGGTGGAGGAGGAGGTAACACAGACCCTGTGAAGAGCAGTGACTTCTTAGTGAATGGTATTGTGGCATATCCCGGCATGAAAAGTTCACAAAACCCAGCAGAGAGTGGTTTAGCTTTAGAAGAACAGTCATCTGCCAGCAATGAAAGTGATGCAGGTAGTTAAGTATTTTTCATATATAAGTTTAAAATGAAAATGTAATTCTTATAATGATATAGATAAGTTTGGTAATAAAAATGTTTATATATGAAAAAAAGCAAAACATTACTAACTAGTGTGAAGGTTGGGGATATGTTGACAATGCATACTTAATATTTTATAAGTAAGGTTTACTGTACAGAAGTTTTTGGTTATTTATATGGTGAATAAATGCAGGTAGGCGACAGGGTTTTCAAGTTTCAACAGTTTCTTCAGCATACATATGCTTCTATATTTCTCAAAAGATAGAAGAATGATTGTCATTAAGTTTCAATTACTATGAGTGTAACAAAAAAACTTTTTATGTATTTATAATGAAATGAATTGTTAGTTGAATATCAAAATTTACAATTGTGACTGAAATGTATGTTTCATAAATATGTTTGATCTTGAACAAATGAATCACTGACTTTTTCAGAAGAAGACAAGCCTGAACAAAGTAAAGATTTAGTGTCAGGGGAACCAAATGATGCAGAACCAGTAAAAAAAGAGGATGAAGATGATGATGCCTTTTTCAAACTTAGAAAGGTATGAAATCAACAGTCATCCCTGGAAAGTGGGAGCACAAAACATCTCCAGAAATGTTGTTACTTGTTTATTTTTGTAAGAGGGAATTTCACTAGGATTGTGCTTCTTTCTATAACTTTCCAGGGATTAGGATGGGCTTGAATGATTAACTGTAACCCTTACTGGGGTATTGAAATTATACGGACAAGAAATTAGTACATGTACATCTTTTAACTTTTTTCATGTATGCAAAAGGATGTTCCCCCCCCCCCCCCCCCCCCCAAAAAAAAAAGGGGGGGGGAAGAAAAAGAGTTTGTTTTGAGCTAGCTTTTGTTTTTTAATTTGAATATTTTCGTTATATATGAAATTGACCTGAAAGGAAGATGTACATATATTGGTTTCTTTCATATTGCTATGGAAAGACTTCGTCACATTATTGTTAGATACAAATCATTGGGTAAAACAATAATTTACAAGGTATGTCTTGCAAAGAAACTTTGTTTGAGCTTGAATGATGGGAAAAGGCAAGAATGTGCGAGGGTACCAAAAAACAGATAAACATGTGATGAAGTCTAAGATATAGCAAATGCTTTTAAAGTACATTTTCAATTATAACACGTCTGATTAAAAATGGATATTGTGACATGTTAAAAAATATGTTGGCTTTCACAGCCAGGGTTTTAAAAAAACGTACAAATCACCACAAAAAAACACTGTCTGACACGACTACTTATATAATATCATAGGTATCCAGAAAAGCTAAATTGCTCGAGAGAGGTCTTCTTCAAATAGTGATGAATTGCCACCGAATATAGGGTAAGTACGACAACCCCGAGACGCACTGGAGCCAAGAGAGAATTACAAGCCTGTGAGAAAAAATGTGTTTGGGGATATAGTAGAGTAACAGAGTTCTTCATCAAAACTTGACCTAATTTTAGATCCAGACATTTTGCACATTCTTATATTTATATCTTCGCAAGTTGAGTATAAGTACAAGAGAATCTATATAATTGGTATTAATTGAAGGGGGAAAGAGTCTTCTTAATACTTGATCATATATTTTATTTAAAAAATATGATTGTTTAGCAAATAAAATGATTATCAGTGTCAGAAAGTCATTGCTGTAATTTCACAAGTATATTAACCTTTTGCTAGTTTTCCCAACTAGTGCTGCATAATTTTGTTTTCTCTCAATATTTTATGTCGGAATTAAATGTGATGTTATATTTTAAATTATTCTATACCTATTATATGTAAAAAAAATGCCAGAATTCTTTATACCATGTGACTTTACAAATTAATTCTAGTATTTCTATGCAGGGGCATAAAGTATTCTTTATTTTTCTATGTATTTGTATTAAAAAAGAGTCGTACAGAAACTTTATGATTCATACACATGTGGACAAGTTAGAAATGGGCCTGTTAATTGGAACTATTAAGTCATTAACATGCCCTTGTTAACCATGATAGTAAAGGATTATTAATTTATAAATGTTAATTGAATACATGAAATACGTATAGAATAGTATTATTAGAGTATTATTTAACAGGATTCTGTACAATACAGGGATTTACATGTATAAGGGTGTGTACTCAGCTGAAAAAAGCACTTGCCCGGTGATACATTAGTATGTCACATGTCCATGTTGGTATACATCAAAATACAGGCCATTTTTTTCCTTGTATCATTATTAATTTCTGGTAAATGGAGGCATTCCAAATGCAAAACAAAAATTGTCAATCTGTATTAATGTTGTTGAATTTCTTTGAAAGCATATTTTCAAGAGAGAATCAAGTAGAATTATTTATTCATAGTAAAATAAATAAAAATAATAATATGAATGCAATGCCTATAGAAAGCACCTGTTCTTGTATCCATTATATGTTTAGCAGTTATTGTAAAATTCCCAATTTGGACAATTTTACTATGCATTTTTCCCAATTCCGTAGATGTAATGTTGTTTGCATTCCAAAAATGGTGAAACCATGGCAGAAAATGTAACCCTGTTTTGTACAGATACACTGTTAAATACCCTGATGAAATTTCTTTGTAAAATATAAAAAGACAGTGTTTGCAATGTGTATGAATAAATGGTATTAATTGATAAATATATAATGCTACGTGTACATACACTTTAGAGAAAGAAAACACAATTAGGACAGGGTATAGATGTTCTATTCTTTCTATCACTCATGATTGATGTAAAATAAGTTCTGATATCATTAAATAAATATGTAATAATTAATTTTACTGCTTGATATATTGTTGAAAAATTACTATGAGCCAGATTCCTCATGATTGCTACAGAAAATGACAGAGTACGGTCATAAGTTGTCTACTTCACAACTTTCCAGGAGAACTGGATAGCAATATCTCTGCTTCTTTTTGTATTAAACCACCAGTCTGTAAAAGTTGGTAAAGCCACTAAAGGAAATCCTTAAAAACTTTGTATAGAGCAAGTATACATGCACTCCTCGGTTGCAGAAAAAAATACATTGAAATTATATTGGTTTTAATTTTTAAGAAGTCATTATTTGAGCAAGAAATACAGGGCCATTTTGCTGTGTGCTTTTTAAAATAAACTTGGCATGTATTTGATTGATATATGAAATAATTGCTCTTTATTCTGTGTACTAAAGTCCTCATATGTTTAAAGTTAAACAGATATTTGCATTTCTTTTTGCTTGTACATTAATGATAATAAATACAAAGGAACCAAAAGCACTTAAACAGCAAGCAGTGTTCGTTTATTTTCAGCAAGTAAAAGAACGAGACAGGTCAAGCTCATCTGATCACGATCTGCGTGAAATGTCGACTGAGTGGATCACTAGTTCGGACAACTCTTCAGTGCGAAGCGTTCCGGTTTTGCTCTCTTCACTTATTCGCATGCACACCACCTGCAAATCTTTCACCACCGGCTTCAACCGAGTCATCAGCCAGGTCCACGCATAAAGCGGGCGAGAGCCCACCAGAGCCGGACAGAGAGAGACGAGGAAGATAAATCAACCACTGCAGTTATTGATAGACAGGTAATTTAACTCTTCTATATTGTCAGTAGCTGGTGACTAGCAATCAAAGTTAGAATAAACTTATCTTCATGTTTATGGTAATAGAATGCATTTTTCAAACCTGTACATGTACTGATACTAATTTGAGAACTGTCCCTGAAATATACATTATTTTAAATTATGAAGATCTTAAAGCCTGGAATTTTTTGGAAAAGAAAATATCAAATTGATGTTGTAACATAACGCTACCTCTCTGTGTTCTCATCAAGATCCTCCAAGTGACTGCTGATGATGTAAAATTAGATGTTCAAATTTCTACTTTCAGTTATTTAAATATGTATGGTTCCTTTTTAGATACTCGGTGAACATTATTTACGTGCAGATCTTCAATATCTTTCACTATATTAAATCTTTGAAACACAGCATAGTAAAAGTTTGCATAACAAATACTACATGTATATTGAAATAATCATTATTGATGAAGGGTTAGGGTTTTCAAAGTCTAATGTTAAGAACATACTTCATAGATATTTTCTTCCTTCAACAGGATCAAGATAAAAAAGAAGAAGGCTCTGGTAAGCTTTCAGATGAGAAGAAGAGGCCGAGGTCAAAGGATAGAAAACGCTCAAGGTCTAGGGATAGGAAAAGGTCACATAGGTCAAAGGTATGTTCAAGACTTGTTCATAAAACATTTTTAAGTTTCCACATATATTTTTGGTAAACTTTTGTAAAATTGTCTAAATGCGTTTGACAGCTGACAATTTTTAGTACTGACTTTTACTTTTTGTCATACTAGAAAACATTTCTCAAAGCCTGTATGATAACTTTATACTTGTATTTCATTACTCTTCGCTTAAATGAGGAAGCTATCAAGCTAGCTTTCTGAACGTGGGTGGTTCTATTCAGGCACCCATTCTTGCCTGAAATAATGCTGGGGAAGAGCACATGAGGTCTTCCTCCACCAGTAAAGCTGGAATGTTGCCATATGACCTATACTGTGTCGTTGTGACGTAAAAACCCAATTAAACAAACAAACTTGGCTTAAATTATGTAGCTAAGTGATTGGTATACAGTCAATATGATAATTGTCTGATCTAAAATGTTTCGCTTTTCTAGCATAATTTTTTAGTTTGTACTTATGTGTGTTGAAACGGCATTAGAATTTGGGGCACTTGCAGCCAAATGGTTAAGGCCTTTGACTTTCAACCAGTTACTCCTCACAACTGTGGGTTCTGACCCGACAAAGATTCTTTCTTGTGAAGATACTAACCAGACTAGTTTAGGAAACGTCAATGGGTCTACTCAAGGTGCCTGTTTGTGCATGTAATAATACACGAAGAGTTATTATACACCTCAAGTCTTCCTCCATAAGTATAACAGGAAAGTAGACATATGACCCTATAAATAGAAAATAATTAGAATTTTCTGATAAGCTTGTATTCTTAAGACTATTAAACAAACAGTAACCAGAAATTTTATTTTTTTGTAAAAAATATATAAACATGTGTTTCATCCATTATACACAATTTCTGTACTTTAATTTTCAGCATGATCACAGTTCCAAGTCTAAACGCAGACGAAGCAGATCACGTTCATCAAAAGACAGAAAGCGAAGACGGTCTCGTGACCACCACAGGCACAAGGACAAAAAGTCTCGAGACAGAAAATCAAGTAGAGACGAGAAAAGAAGTAAAAGCAGGGAACGGAAAGACAGTAAGAGTGAAAATAGAAAGTCAGAAGTACGTGAGCATAAAGATAGTACTAGTGAAAAAAAAATAACCGAAACTCAGTCATCTACAGACGTAAAGTCTGATATAAAAGACAATAAAGATAGTAAGAGTGAAGGACACAGAAAACGAAGTCGAAGTAGAGACAGGAAAGATAAGAAGAAAGATCGTAGAAGAAGTAGATCTCGTCACCGACATAGAAGCAGGAGTAGAGACAGACGTAGCAGGGATAGAAAAAAAAGTAGAAGTAAAGAGAGAAAGAGAAGCAGAAGTAAAGATAGAAAAAGGAAACACAGAAGTAGGAGCCGAGACCGTAGAAGTAGAAGTCGACATAGAAGCAGGGAAAGACATTCTAGGTAACTATATAATTTATGGCTTGCTAGCAATGAACATTGTATTATCAGTTATTTTAAGAAGTACATTAGTGACATTACCAGGGGTTTTATTTTAACTTTGTCTATGTTTATCCCTATGCAACTTGCCAAATGTGTATTACTTACGGTTGTTTCATTTACATGATATTCTACATGCCTACAGAAATAGACAATCCATATGTCGGCAAATATAATAAAAGCATTGTGCAAGATATGGATAAAATAAAAACAAAAACAGTACAATACAATATCATTCTTACTGACTAATCCATTTTTGATAGCTTAATATTGTGTCATAATTATTTTAGTTTTTACCATATTATGGAAAATTTGAAGTAAAATACTCCTGATGTGAAAGTACAGAATTTATAAATTTTGGGGAAGAAAATGTGAAAGCAGCCAGTAAGCTCAGGCTGAAGATCTGATTAATGTTATTTCAAGGGTCCTGGTCAGGCTGAATGTTATTTCAAGGGTCCTGGTCAGGCTGAATGTTATTTCAAGGGTCCTGGTCAGGCTGAATGTTATTTCAAGGGTCCTGGTCAGGCTGAATGTTATTTCAAGGGTCCTGGTCAGGCTGAATGTTATTTCAAGGGTCCTGATCAGGCTGAATGTTATTTCAAGGGTCCTGATCAGGCTGAATGTTATTTCAAGGGTCCTGGTCAGGCTGAATGTTATTTCAAGGGTCCTGATCAGGCTGAATGTTGTTTCAAGGGTCCTGATCAGGCTGAATGTTATTTCAAGGGTCCTGGTCAGGCTGAATGTTATTTCAAGGGTCCTGGTCAGGCTGTGTATCTTTCTAACCTTTGTCACATTGTGAAATAGAATGACACATTTATAAGATGTATTTGTTTTGTTACAGAAGTAGAAGTCGGGAGAGATTGAGGAGTCGTAGTCCTGTGATGGGCAGAAAACTAACTTTTAAGGAACAGATGAGGAAAGAATTTATTAATGCCAGCAAGGAAATGAGTAATCAGGAACATAAAGGTTTGTAATTAACTGTTGTTAATAATTTTTGGATGGATTATGGACAAATTTTTCTAGTTTATATTCATAACTTTCTAGTCTTGATTCATGTAGCTAATTGCTACTGGTGTTATAAAGGAATTATAGTAAGGAACTATGGTTGTGACCCTATTAGGGCTCAAACCTATGATCCCTGGATAGAGAGGCAGACACATTAACCATTCTGCCACTGCTAATAAACTTAAAACATTGGGGATGGGTTAATTATAAGGATTTTTGTTATTTTATTTATTATTTAACAATTTAATATTTTACTATTAAGTAAAGGTATTTTTGAAAATTATAAATGTATTGTTCTATTTACAACATTTGAGAAGTTAAAAGTGGAGTATATGTTAATTCTATGATAAAAGTTTTTCTTTAGCTTAGGAAAGTCACTCCTAGTCAGTGATTCTAGAATGCATGCTTAGGCTTTCTCTCTTTACATATGCGTATGTAAAACCCAGTTAGTTGCAGAAATGATTATCCATTTAAGTGTTGCAGATTAATATATGTGTGTAAATTAAAGATTTTCAGTGTATTTGTATTGTGGTAAAATTGAGCCTATCACGACAAAACCAACATAGTGCGTTTGCGACCAGCATGGATCCAGACCAGCCTGCCCATCCGCTCAGTCTGATCAGGATCCATGCTGTTGGCTTACCAACTCTATTACAAGTGAAGAAACTGAAAGCAAACAGCATGGATCTTGATCAGACTGCGCAGATGCGCAGGCTGGTCTGGATCCATGCTGGTCGCAAACGCACTATGTTGGTTTTGTCATGACACGGCTCAATTAACTTTACATCAGTTATAGATAGCCACACATCTTTATTTCATGCCATGATTATAAGTAAATTAATGTATGTATTTTACAGTAGTGTCCGACCTTGATGCATTAAGAAAGCCTGGGGAGGCTTTGAGACCATCAGATCTATTGAAGGGAGTCAAACTCAACAGTGGAGAGTCTGTAACACCACAGATGGCACTTATCCAGACTATGGCAGCTATGCATAAAAAGGTAAATAATGTAAACATTTGACTGCCTGTTTTCAGGTAGTGTACTGTATAATCTATTGATAACATGTTATAAAGTTATCCCCTAGTCAAGAATTCTAACAACTTATTTGGGGCCTTCATGGCCAAGTGGTCAAGGTCACTGACTTCAAACCACTTGCCCCTCACAGCTGTTGGTTCGAGTCCAGTCAGTGACTTTGAATTCTTTTTTGTGAGGAAGCTATCCAGCTAGCTTATGGAAGGTTGATGGTTCTATCCAGGTGCCTGTTTGTGTCTGAAATAATGCATGGGAGGGCACCTGAGGTGGACCTTTACTGTGTTGGTGCGATGTAAAACCCAACCAAAACAAAACAACAACAACAAAAAAAATCAATAGTAAAGTAGGGACATATAAAGATATGATATTTTGTATAGAAGTAACAAATCATCAGTGAATTTATTATGTATTTTTTCTTCACTCAGGCTCAGGAGTTGACTGGGGTTGAGGTGCCGAAGTACTATAACCCAGCAGCTGTTAATCCACTTAAATATGCCGAACAAGTCCAAAAGAGGAAGCTTTTATGGTCAAAGAAGACAGATGAAAACCAAAAGGAGAAAAATGTAATATTGTTTCTATTTGATTAAACATTATAAGATATTTCTGTCAACTTATTTTAATACCATGTTTTTCTTGTGTTGTTAAAAAAAAATGTAAGTGAAATTGAAATACTGTTTGTTTAAGTTAATGATTAAAGATCTAACACCAATTTGGGAATTATAATATTATTTAAATACACAATTGTTACATTATGATCTGGAGGGGGAACATTTTGGGCTAAAAAATTTATGTGTACTATTGAAGCTTTCAAGCGATGTTAAGGGGGGTGGGGTAAAAGGTTTAACATTAATGCTTGATCAAGTCTGATCCATGAACATTCCATTGAAATCTGTTACTAGAGTTATAGTAAGATACTTTGGCATTAGTCCCCACGCTCAACTTCTGTCACCCCCATCGCATACAAAAAAAAGAATATGTTAATATATAGGTAATGTTTATATAATTATCATATATTACAGGATCATATGGAGACGCAGTGGAAATCCGCTTTTGTTTCTACAGAAGATAATAAAACAGCGTCAAAATTCCGTAAACTTATGGGTATGAAGGGAGGCGAAGGTCAATCATCAGCGGAGGAACTGCCGGAGGACTTACAGAAACTGTCGGAGGAACAGCAACGGAAGCAGGCGGAATTGTTTCAGAGACTTGATCAGGACTATCAGTTTGCGCGTATGACGACCCACACGCAGCGTGGTGTCGGTCTCGGCTTTTCAACAACAATCATCGATCCAAATCATCCGCAAAATCCACCCTGAAATTGCCAGTGAAATGTTTTTGTTTTTGAGATATATATATGATACATATGTGAGATATTATTTCAGACTATCAGATATGATGCCATACATTGTGATATATCATTTAAGACATTACGAGATAATCATACAACACATTACGAGATATCATACAACACATTACGAGATATTAATATCTCATACATTATGAGATAACATAAAACATTATGATATATCATACAAGACATTATGAGATATTATCTCAGATATTTTGAGATAACATAAAAACATTATGATATATAAGACATTATGAGATATATAATAAGCTAACATACATTATGAGATAACATAAAAGATGTAATGAGATATCATGTCGGACATTTTGAGATATCATCAGAAATTGTGTCGGACATTTTGAGATATGATACAAGACATTATGAGATATTATCTCAGTGAATAAGATATTATGTCAGACATGAGATATCTTACAACACAATATGAGATCATGTCAGGTATTATCAGACATTATCAGATATTTTACTACACATTTGATTTATGATAGATGTAACATTTTGGGGTATAATGCTATTGGCCTTTATGTATCACTTTGTAGATAAGTTACGAAGCTGAACTTCATGGTCAAATCACACCACATTTGTAATAAGATGCCATATATTAACAGTATTTTTATGTTCATAATTCATTTTGTCATGATTAGTTGGTATTGTGTGCTCAATTAAATTTCAATTAAGTTGTTGCTGTGTAAAAAGTTTCAGTACAATCTGGAAATAAATTGTTGTTGACTGGTAGGTTGTATACACAAGATTAACTTTATAACTAACAAACATAATATAATTAATATTATATGTTATATTTGACAGGGAAAATGTTTGATTACCATGTAGATAGATATTAAGACAGTTTTTCAAAGTTTTAGAATTTCCTTGCTGCTGTTGTGATAACCTGTCTTTGATTTGGAGAACTTTCAATTATAAAAAGCAGGGATATAAAAATAATACTAAAATTGAGCAGAATAAGGTCTGTTGATCTCATAGGCTAGAACAGATACTTGGCTGTTGGCATGGTGTTGCTTGTAAAAGCTTTGCCTGTAAAAATTTGAAATAGAAAATAGACTTGGTCGGGACTTATATTTATGTACATAAGGATGTTTCCTTTTTTGCAATTACTTCAATTGTTGAGCCATTGCAGTAAGTTTTTCATCTATTTCATTACAATTTATGATTTGCTCTCTTAAAGTAATTGGTATAATTATTGCAGAAATGTTTTCATGATTTAAGACTGACATCCAGTATATATTGGATGTAAACACTTCTTAATTTGTTAGTATGTTTATCTTTAATTTTGTTGTAACTTGGTAAATATTAATGAGTTATGATTGTTTTTCTTTGTTTTTGCACATTACATGAATTGACACTTTTTTTAAGTTCTTGTTTTTAAAGTTTTTGTTTTTTTGTCCAAGAATATCGATTGAGGATATAATTCTTAAGATGTTGTCTTCAGTGATATTTTTTACCTTGGTGTAAAACATTAACAAGAAAAAATTTACTATGTACGTATTTGTATTAGGTCAGTTATAATCATCTATGGCGTGAATTGTTACGGACATTTTACATTTTATGTGCATATTTTTTATTTTTCATTTCAGTTTGGTCCACATTTTGAGCAGCTATACAACTGCATAGTTATTTATTGCTGTTGTGATAATGAATTTGTACAAAGAAGTCCTGAATTGTAAATATATAAAACCTAATTTTACTGCAATGAAGCATAATTATGTGCTATTTGTAAAAATTCTGTTAGAAGGGTTTGAAACAGAAATAAAAAAAGTTCAAACAGAGAATTGTTGTCATCTTGTCATTGGTTTATACAGAATTTATTTTAGTTCAATTATGTAGGAAGCTATAAGCTTATAGACACACTTTCTAAATTTGTTCCTGGAACCAACCAGTAATGAACAATGTGTGTAAAGTTTCTTGCTCAAGGAAACAATGTCTTGCCCCTGATGAGGTTTGAACCCATTCTGCTAGCAATTGTTAGATAACTAGTCCAACATGTTAACCACTCAGCCATGCTGTCACTGTCCACTTCCTACTATTTTCTGGCCATATTACAGGTTTAGTGGTTCCATTCAGTCACGGATTTATATTACACGGATTTATATTACATTGTAATATAAATCCGTGATTCAGCTTAACAATGCCTGAGAGGGTCACATGATATACTTTTCTACTAGTTATATTTGAAATCACAAGTTGGGCTGAACGTGTTGGTATTATTAAAAAATACAACAGATACCTTGACAGGAGGCTGCGTTGTATACTGTATGGAATAGGAAATTGTCAGATATTGACCATTACCTTGATGTTGTTTTTTTTCTTGGAGTATTGTTCTTGCAACATATTCATTTGTACCTCACATTGCATCTTCTAATTCACAATTCCATACAGTAAAATAATGTAAAAAGAATACAGTACATGAATTGGTACTGATATTTAATCCGACTATAGAAAATAAGCAACACTAAAGATGTACAGGCATATGATTAGAGTATTATTTTGCCTGAAATACTTTGCTAATTTTTTTTTTTTAATTTGTCAAGAAAATATTTAGCAGCCTAAACCTAAATCTATTCTCACACATAGCCAGAAATAATGAAGGCGGTGCAGATGTTTACATCTCCTGAACGAATAATCCATATAAACATACCACAGCTGTCAAAACATAAAAATGCTGACAAATCATAAATCCCTTACATAATTTACTGGACGATAAATTGTTAAAATGTAGCTTTACCTATATCCCATACAATTTTAATTAAAAATGAATGACATGTCTGTAGAAATGTGTAAAAATAGACGTGTCTCGTTTTAGTGTGACAATTTTTTTTATCTATTTTTAGCAATTACATTTGTCTTGCACCACTACTGATAGTCCTATAAATATGACGTCGCTTTGAGATATTTTGGCTTCTGGGCAAAGCAACGTCATATCGAAATTGCTCAAAAACCCATAGCATGTTCCGCCAGAAAATCGGGCGGAACGAAAAACAATGAAGACAGCGTGTATTTACATAATTTTTGACCTATTTATGAACAAAACTAAAAAATAAATACCTTTTGTCAAAATAATTAAACTGTCACATCCGAAAAATCATGATTAAATCCTCTTATGTATTTCAATTCCTTTTACAGCCGATAAACAAATGGCGGCCGTAAAGTGCGCGAAATCTGATTGGCTAATTCAAATGCAAGCGTTTAACTGAGTCAGAACAATCTAACGGAATATTTTTTTAACGAAATAATTGCCCATGCACCGTCAGTGTGTTCGAATATATTTTTCCGTTCAAAAATTTGGAATCAATCTGTAAAGCACCTTGCTTAACCAGTATGGCTGATAGACAAAAATAGATTGATGTTTATATTTTATTTTAAATTGATAAGTACATCGTTTGAAAGTTTTTGCGTATGATTGAGCATGAAATTGAAAGAAAATATGATAAGCTTTTGAATAAAGCTTGAAAGGCAAGACAATAGACATTTTTGGAATTTTTTATGATGCTATGCGTTTTTGAGCAATAACTATTAGACGTCAGGCTTGACCGACAAAAACTATAACAAGCCTGTAACGTCTAATATATTGGACTACACTACTGAAAACAATGTACAATTCACTTATTTGTGACTGTGTCAGCAAGGAAACACATTAGTGACTTTATTTTAAGAGTGGTAAAACACTGTGATGTATCGTTTTGGACTCTCATTACTGAATAAAATGGATTCACTTACAAATTATTTTTCACGTATGTTTGGAGAGGACGATGTGAAGGCAGAGGTTGGTCCTGATAAATTGAGTTCAAGTGATGATGCTGGTAATCCTAATGCAGCTTGGAGAAAAAGAGCAAAGCGGTGTCAATGCCAAACTGTCAAACCTATGGATCCAAACACTCCAGTGAAGGAGGATTGTGTTCGTTTTGTATGTATATCTGACACTCATACAAAATTAGAGCAGTTCAAAAATTTAGAAATTCCAGATGGCGATGTATTGATACATGCTGGTGACTTTACAATGCAAGGAATGCCAGACGAGGTTGATGTTGTTAACAAATATTTAGGTAAGAATGCATTGATTGGGTTTTACATCACACCGAATCAATATATACATTTGTAGGTCATATAGCGACGTTCCAGCTTTACTGGACGGGCACCTGAGTAGAATCAACAACGTTCTGTAAGCTAGCTGGATAGCTTCCTCACATGAAAGAATCCAAAGTCCCTGTTGGGATTCGAACCCACAGCGGTGAGGGGCAAGTGGTTTAAAGTCAACGACTTTAACCACTCGGCCATGGATACCCCAGATATTTTAATTTTAGACAGATATACTATTGTATATACATGATTAATGAGACCTACATTTTCTGATCCTAGCCTGTTTCAATATACAGTCATATTAATACATGTATGAATAAATATAGGAATTGAAAATATGGAAACATGAAATCTGAAAAGTTATTTATCAAAACTTCTGTAAAGCGTTTGAATTGACATGTCAATTTTCTTAAAATATTTCACACATTGAATATATCTCATATATATTATCTATGTTGCAGGAACTTTAACACATAAACATAAAGTAATAATAGCTGGTAACCATGACATTACATTTGACCTTGACCATGTGAAGAAGAATGGATCAAGGAAAATATGGTCATTAACAACTGGCATGGAATTGGAATCACGTTTGGAACATTTTGGAGTAAACACTGTGCATGAAATGTTGACGGACTGTATCTATTTAGAAGACTCTTCAGTCGAGATATACGGAATTAAAATATACGGAAGCCCCTGGTGAGTATAAAAAATTGTTAAAATATTTTATGATTATATTTCGTCACCTTAGTGCAATTACTGGGTTGCTAAGCTCCAATTAAATTTAAAAGGACTTACCCATAACTGCACTAAGGTGGCAATTAAGTTCTTAATATTATTGAATGATAATTTATAGGTATTGCTCACATTACATTTGGACATCGGGTATACTATACTTGATGTGCATGCAAATGTGACTTACTATTGCATTTTAAAAGCTGCCAACTTCAAAGTTAATATGATCTTAAGCTGTTTTGAAGAAGCGTTGTTTTTGTCAATAATTTTTTTTTTTTTGGAATCAAAGAATATATAGATCTACCTTAATTATGAAGTTTCAGGAAGAGTCCTTATCTTGCTGTTATATCAACACATGTATTGCTTAACGGTTACTTTTAAGTCTTTTTCAAACTTCCACATGAATAAATATATTCTTTGATGTTAATATGGAAACATATTGTTTATAAACAAACAGGACAGCAGGGCGTGGCTTCTGGGGATTTCAGCGTCAACGTGGCCCGGCTCTAATGAAGAAATGGAACCAGATACCAGCTGACACAGATATTCTAGTAACACATTCACTGCCATGTGGTACGATTTTTTTTACTCTTATGATGATTATGATGTTTCTATAATGTATGTAAAATACATGTGTTTTTGGTTGGATATAATAATATTAGTTATTTATCAGTGTATTCTATCTTTAGTGATATAATTCAAATGTTTAAAGAACATTAAGGATATCTGTTTTGTTACTCTGTTGACAAAAAAAACAAACTACACATACATGTAGGAAAAAGTTTTGTTATGTTTTTTTCTTTCATAGCTAAAAGGGATTGCACTGTGGGTCTTTGATATATGTTTTTTTTCTCAAGATTTTATATTTTATTTTTTTGTTGGGCTGGATCAATAACTTGTATTGCAAAATTTCAGATAATTCACTCACTCTTCATAATAATTATTTTGAAAATTGTGAAAAATGACCCAAAAATTAAAAGCATTCATTATAATAATGATTGACAAGAAAAAATTTTGTTGAAGAAGTTTTACTTATTACAATGATCAGGTATTGGAGACAATGTCAATGTTGGTGTGGCTTACAAACTGAAGAGAATGGTAGGAGGTCCAGCAGCTAATCACGTGGGTTGTGTAGATTTACTTGACACTGTACAGAAACGTGTGAAACCAAAATATCACATCTTTGGACATATACATGAAGGTAAACTTATTAGTTATAACATTATTATACTTACATGTTATTACCAATAAATGACTAAAATTTTAGCATTTTTTTACTGAATTTTTTTTCTGCATGACTAACGCAGTAAGGGCTATTGTTGCATATTCTGACCTATTTGTGGTTATTTCGTAGATTTTAAGTTCCGTTTGCAATGAATTAATTTATTGAACTGTCTTTGATTATTTGACAATATTTTACTGTTTAATACATTTTAAAATGTTTCATGAAGATTAGCATGCATGAATCTGGCATGCTACCTTAAACTTTTTTTCAGTTTTAGTTAAATTAAGTTGTTTTTTTTTTTGCATCACACCTGAAGTTGAGGTATTCATGTTTTTTTTGTTATTGACTCCTGCCTAGCATCATAAGTTGTATGCTACATATTCAAGGTGGCCTTGCCTCAAGCTTGTAAAACTATTTCCTTGAGTTCTGTCTCAAATCTCAGGATTTTCATTGGTCAGTGTACATTCCCTGACAGTTTCTGCCTTATCAATTGCCTGAGACCTTAGCTTGATCCTAGAAAATTACTGTATAACCTTGGACCCCTAGTTCTGGTGCCACCTGCCTCTGAAGTCACGGATCATGGGTTTGAACCCTAAGCAGATCAAAATCAAGTAATGTCAGCCAGTACATTTTTGACCAGGAAGTGGATTTAGTATATATAAGATTGATATACTAGTTCACGTATTTAATAGGACTTTGCCACAGCATCATACTTGGATAATATATATGTTTGAATAGAGCTTTGTTAAGTATTAACATTATACTAATTTAACAATTTAAATTACAGTGAGTATATTATTTTAATAGAAGTAAATTGTTACTGTATGAAAATTTTATATAATTTTATATTTGATAAATATGTTTAAAGCAGTGTTATAAAAGTATTAATAATAGCAAGAACTTTTATTAATCACAAATGATTACTGTATATATTAATTATTATATAAGCCGCGTTATGACAAAACCAACGTAATGTGTTTGTGACCAGCATGGATCCAGACCAGCCTGCGCATCCGCGCAGTCTGTTCAGGATCCATGCTGTTCGCTATCAAATTATCTACTTGTAATATGGTTTGTAAGCGAACAGCATGGATCCTGATCAGACTGCGCAGATCCATGGATCCATGCTGGTCGCAAACACATTACGTTGGTTATGTCATGACGCGGCTCATATAATGTTGTGTTATTAGGGTATGGTGTAACAACAGATGGGACAACAACGTTCATCAATGCATCCACATGTACACACACATATGATCCCTGTAACCCAGCTATAGTGTTTGATGTTCCTTTACCAGCTGGGTATTCAAAGGTAAGTAGGTGTTTCTTTCACATACATATATAAAACATATCACATGTGTTTTTTTTAAAATCTTCTGGCATACACTGTGATAATATTTTTTGACTTTTATAATTATAATAATGATGATGATTATAATTATAATGACTGTTATTCAAGTGATGATAATGAATTTTTGATGATGATGATGATGATGATGCTGCTGCTGATGATGATGATGATTAAGATGTTGATGATGATGTTGATGATAATAATGATGATGATGTTGTTGATGATGATGATGATGATGATGATGATGATGATGATGATGGTGGTGTTTTTTATAATAATGTTTTTTATTTTACCCAAGTAACCAAGTGTGACCAGTACAGATGAAAATGATAGTTTACTGTTTGCTATTCAGTCAGTACATATTTTGAAATTTACCCAGATTTAAGATGGACAAGTCTATTTAAGAGATTTAGCTTGGTAAGTGGTACTTGAAATAGAAAGTTTAGATATCTTTCTTTGTAAATCACCTTTTATAAAACAGTATGTTTTAAATTTTAGACACAAGAGGCCAATAGTATAAGAAAGGACATTTGCAATAACTTTGCTTCTTCTGAACACTATGCACATAGTGATCCAGTGATTCCAAAAAGTCATGGGACATTGATGAAGATATTGATGATTCAAATGAAGATTTGAGCCTGTCTGACTCACTGAAAGTAGATAGTGTGATAGAAGAGGAAGATTTAGACTGTGTTGAATTTACTCATACAATAGGTGAAACAGATATAGAGAATACAAATTCTATAGCAACAGGACATTAATGTTAGAGTAGGACATTACTTATTGAATAGGACATAAATGCTTCAATGGGCAATTATTTTTTGAGTGGGACATTAATGTTTGAGTGGGACATTACTGATTGAGGATTGAGTGGGACATTACTGATTTAGTGGGACATTACTGATTGAGTGGGACATTACTGATTGAGTGGGGCATTACTGATTGAGTGGAACATTACTGATTGAGTGGGACATTACTGATTGAGTGGGACATTACTGATTTAGTGGGACATTACTGATTGAGTGGGACATTACTGATTGAGCGGGACATTACTGATTGAGTGGGACATTACTGATTGAGTGGGACATTACTGATTTAGTGGGACATTACTGATTGAGTGGGACATTACTGATTGAGTGGGACATTACTGATTGAGTGGAACATTACTGATTGAGTGGGACATTACTGATTGAGTGGGACATTACTGATTTAGTGGGACATAAATGCTTCAATGGGCAGTTAATGTTTAAATGGGCCATCAATGTTTGAGTGGGCCATTTATGTTTAAGTGGGACAGTAATGTTTTTAGTCGGACATTACTGATTGAGTGGGACATTACTGATTTAGTGGGACATTACTGATTGAGTGGGACATTACTGATTGAGTGGGACATTACTGATTTAGTGGGACATAAATGCTTCAATGGGCAGTTAATGTTTAAATGGGCCATCAATGTTCGAGTGGGCCATTTATGTTTAAGTGGGACAGTAATGTTTTAGTCGGACATTACTGATTGAGTGGGACATTACTGATTTAGTGGGACATTACTGATTGAGTGGGACATCACTGATTGAGTTGGACATTACTGATTTAGTGGGACATAAATGCTTCAATGGGCAGTTAATGTTTAAATGGGCCATCAATGTTCGAGTAGGCCATTTTGTTTAAGTGGGACAGTAATGTTTTAGTCGGACATTAATGCTTGAGTGGGACTTTACTGATTGAGTGGGACATTACTGATTGAGTGGGACATTAATGATTGAGTGGGACATTACTGATTGAGCGGGACATTAATGATTGAGTGGGACATTAATGATTGAGTGGGACATTAATGATTGAGTGGGACATTACTGATTGAGTGGGACATAAATGTTTGAATGGGACATTACTGATTGAGTGGGACATTAATGATTGAGTGGGACATTAATGATTGAGTGGGACATTAATGATTGAGTGGGACATTAATGATTGAGTGGGACATTACTGATAGAGTGGGACATTACTGATTGAGTGGGACATTACTGATTGAGTGGGACATAACTGATTGAGTGGGACGTTACTGATTGAGTGGGACATTGGGACATTACTGATTGAGTGGGGACATAACTGATTGAGTGGGACATTACTGATTGAGTGGGACATTACTGATTGAGTGGGACATTACTGATGAGTGGAACATTTATGCTTGAGTGGGACATTAATGCATGAATAGGACATTATTGATAATTGGTAATGCTTGATATATGACATTAATGCTTGAGTAGGACATTGATGTTAATTGTTGATGCCTTAAATATGACGTTAATGCTTGAATAGGACATTATTGATAATTGTGACTGCTTAAGTAAGACATTAATGGTGAAGTAGGACATTAATTGTTATCATTAATGCTTGGTAAGACAATAATGCCTGAGTTAGACTTAAATGCTTGAGTAAAATGTTAATGTATTTATTATAACTAGTGCCTGATTAGAACATAAATGCTTGAGGATATATAAATAATGCTTGAGTAAATTTTCTTTGCAAAAGTATTGAGTGAGACCAAAGGCTATATAAATAATTATGCAATTTATGGATTACATCTAAAAAAAGGCTTTGAAAGTTACAAATTGATATGACTGAATTCAGGAAAAACAGATAAGAGTGAATAGCCTAGTAATGCCACCATTATAAAGTAAGGCCATTGTCACCAGTATTGAACCAGGTTAAGCCTGCTAATCTATGCTTTCATTACACATCAACAGGTTAAGACTTCAAATAGGCTTTACTGAAATGATACAGGGTTACATTATATTTTGTACTAGTCATGACAATTCAGGTAAATGCAAACCTCAGATATATGCACAGATCAGGATGATCTTGTAAATTTGAGAAATGAATTAAATGCATTTTATATAGTTTTCTCTTTCCTTGCAAATTACCCACTCAGATATTTATTTTGATTACATGTACATTGTACTTGATTCTGGAATGAATAAAATTCATATGGTTTTTAGCAATTTATTTTTGCAATACATGTACATGTATGTTGTTTAATTGTTACTGTGACCATGACATTTTTATATCATGTGATATTATTTTAACCATTGTAAATTTTAATATACATTGTATATGATTTTAATATAAAGTAAGGTTAAAGAAAATAATTGAGCCGTGTCATGACAAAACCAACATAATGGGTTTGCGACCAGCATAGAATCCAGACCAGCCTGCACATCCGCGCAGTCTGATCAGGATCCATGCTGTTCGCTTACAAACTCTATAACAAGTAGAGAAACTGATAGCGCACAGCATGGATCCTGATCAGACTGCGCAGATGCGCAGGCTGGTCTGTATCTATGCTGGTCGCAAACCCATTATGTTGATTTGTCATGACACAGCTCAATTATGTAATACTTTTATCATCTAAAGTTGATCTGTTTTAGTTATCTAGAATCTTTTTTAAGAATTTATGTACAATCATGTAGAATCTAATTAAGACTGTTCAAAGTGTAAATCTTGCAGAATATATGATCATAAATTTATCATATTGAAATCACATGAATTAACATATGGAAACTTATTCATATGAAAAACATGTGATAACAATACGTTTAATATATGTTTGTTGACACATGTTTTTCATATGGTCCTGTTTAATATTATGTTAATTTACATATTAAAAAAACATATGTTCTTTAAAACACATGAAACACATACGTTTTACATATGGTGTACCAAACATACAACAAACATGTGGTGCATATTTACCTGTATAGTCGAGCCTGCTGTCCTACCAACATCTCTTGTTTGAATTAAACAAAATTCTACATCAGCTAAGCTCTTGTTTTACTATCAAGCACTAAGAATAGTCAAGCACATAGTCTTATTAAGTTACATTTTTGAATAAATAATAAAACTTTTTATTGTAACATCAATTTACATATATTATGTAGGGGTATATACTTTCTGCCTTGCTTTGATTCAAGCGTTATAACAGGTGATTATGGTTAAACATTTTCATGACTATTATTTCTAAACCTTAGTATTTTAATACTCATAAAAGACTCTACATTCCCTTAAAAACAACAAAAATCAGCATAAAGAAACAAATTTAGAATTTTTGACATTTATAGAATTTCTTTATATACCCATGCAAGTTGTATAACTATTATTAGTGTTCAACAGTTTCTTTTGTAAATGTATATGTATATTTGATGTATTATTTGTACATATAGGAACATAATTCGTCCCCATAGTGCAGTAACGGGTTAACTTCTATTGAATTATGTTAAGGAGTTAACTTGTTAGTGTACTAAGGCAACAATATATTTCCTTTTTTATAAACCGCAATTTCATGCCTTTCTACCATTTTCATTCATTTTTGATAGTCATTAAAAAAATATTGAGGCAAAAGAAGTCACGGATTTTCCAAAGTCTTAGTTTTATTTTACATATTTTTTCTTAAAAAGCATGCATATGTCTGTTCTATAGAAAACGTTTTTATACTGTATCTTTTGTGTCTTTTTTATGATAACGTTTACGTTTTACTTGATTTACTACACTGTATGGTATTTCATTGTTGTTTCACTAACATACTTACGCAAATTCTTGACTTACGCAAATTTTTTTCAATGTGCTAGAAAATAAATTCAAACATACTCACATGTTTTTAAATCTTATATATTCAATCTTTCATTTGCTCAAAACTTAATTAACATAAAATATAAAAACAAATACTTGCTATGGACATAAAAAGATCAATGGAAATTTTTGCGTTAAGATTAAGAATTTGCGTAAGTATGTTAGTGATATTCAACTCAATCTCCAGTTCAGTGGATATAACTTTTTACATGTAGCACTGATAGTCTTGCTGGAGTTTACATGTTGTTTTTCTGTGCTTGAATAAAAAACAACATTGTTAAACAAACTGTGGAGACTGTTTGCAAGATGTGATGTTTTTACGATAATATTTCATATATTATTTTTATTATTTATTAATTTGTATACCTACTGAATCTCCAGTATTTTTACCTTGTGATATTTATTTTACGAATGTTATGTATTTAATTGTATTAACCAAACCATCTGAATGGATTTATTGAAGTCATTTGTAAATAAAACACAGCTGTGATACTCGAATAATCAAAAATAAAATAAATGATATGAGTGGAATTAACGTTTATTATATTGTTTACCTTTATTATTTTACCTCACGTAGGTAAATAACCAAACACGCTCGTAATTTACGGAATACATGGCTCTGGTCTTAATGGTCTTAATGCGTTATGACAGGATAAAGATTTATCTGACACGTTCAGCGGGAAGCCTACATGAATCCTCTTACTTTTCATGAACGTTATTTTGCATATAAATATATTATTTCAGAAAATGGTATTGTTGAAAGTGGTATACACTGAAATAATCAATGGATTTATTTATTATAAAGCGTAACATCTGCAAAGGCGACCCTTTGTAAAGCAATGACTTCTTTACAGCAACATGTTTTGAAATATTTCCCAAAGAAAGTCTTCAAAATAAATTCCCAGTTCCGATGTAACGGGTGGTGCTGATACACGCATACATATCTGGTGCTAAAGTGAAGGAAATGAAGTTAATAAAGTGTTCTTTATTACATTATTGTGTTGAGTTACTGGCGCATCAAGCAATGAAAAATAAATGTATGGAACATGCAAAACAGCAAAGTTTACCTACAATATGACTTATTTAATTATTTTATCATAGATAACCATGACTTTGCCTCGCAAAGCATACAAATATTGAACTCTTATTATAGTTCCTGCAGCTAAAATAACAAGGCTAAGCCACCCGACCATATAGTCTGATTTAAAGCACATAATCTCTTAGATTGGAGATTGTTGTTTTTCTTCCTTGGAAAAGACAACAATGTATCCATAACAAGGGAAGCGCTAAATTTGAAACAATGTGTTATAAAAACAGCGAAATGTTAACAAAACGGAATTTTAACTTCCATATGTACATTATACTTAATGCAAAAGAAGCAAATGATATTCACCTATCGGCCAATGAGTAACTTTTTGTGAACTGTAAAAGGACACCAAAAATAAAAAATAAATTAATAAAAAAATTATATTGTGATATTTGTGTGTAAATGGGCCTTTAATCGACTCGGGTTTCTTTATGATTAGTTTCAAGTTTAAAACTGAGTAAGTTCATTCTTGAGTCCAGCAAAGTGAAAGGTTATATATAATATTTCGCTTGCGATCGGTAATATAAATTCAAGAATTGTAAAAGTATTGTAATGTTCAAACAGTGTAATGACTGAAACATGTTGATTAATTGAAAAATTGATGACGTGCAGTCTTCAAAAAAAATTAATACAAATGTATAATGAAGTTTATTTTGTAAATTATAGATTTGGGTATTCAGGTTCTTTTATATTTGTAAAGGCTTAGAATAATGGAGTCGAAAATTTTAATATTTTGCAACCAAGTGTGTCCGACTATAGGCAATATATTGTTAAACCCTTAATTAAAGGTCCATTATGTTTCAGAAATGTTTTATTTCTAATCTCAAAAGCTTTTATATTTGGTATCGTCTTAAATGTTTCAAAAAGGTATGCCAATTACCTGAATCATCTTTTGCTTTTGTTGCTTTTTGGCTATTAGTACAGTTATAGTGATTCACTTTTGAGTATGAAAGTCAAAATACTATTTTGTTTACATTTTGCTACTTTTCAAACAAATAACTTCACTTTCAGTACTACTATCTTCATGCGGTAATTATTATTCAACGTGCTCTAATTAAATCATTAGTTATAAAACTCATGTTTGTTTTTATGGAGCAGGGTTATTTCATTCGTTTTTGAGGCATAATGTGCCTTTAAAGTTAATGTAGTTTAATATACTGAACTCACGTAAAATAACAATGGACAGCAGGACAGGTAAATTACATGTATACATACTCGGCAGTGTCCGGGTAATAACTTCACAAAGTCATTTAAGGCAGGTGCACTCAAATTGTCATCGTTTATTTATTTAGAATTTTAAAGATTACATCCATTCCGCCCCACCCTTCCTACTGCAATCTTAAAATACATACATTATATCTGGCACATACATATTTCTTGTAGAATTTAATATGTTAACGTAAGGATATATCTACAATTGTTGCGTGAATACGTTTATACAATAAATACGTGAGTGCCATTGACTACGACCAGTTAGTCAATAATCTGAATTTAATAATTCTAGAATAATCTGGTTCGATACTTTTAGGAATATCACATACATGGCAGATCGTACATATGTGATATCATAATATAGATACATCACTGGGTTGGCCTTTATCATCATATCTGAAAAATCAACATATGGCCAGAGTGACATTGTAATAAAGTGCTTTATCGTACAAATTCATCATAATTGTACTAGTATATTGTATATGTAATTGTATTGTATCAGATTATATATACTCATGTGTTTACTTGGTGTTGTTATGCTTAGTGTTGTTATGCTATTTAATAAGGTCAGTGAGTTAAAGACCTGCCACAGGAAAATGTACCATCAAATATAAAAGATTATCTCTATAAAATTTTGTTTGATTAGGATAAAGAGGAATCCTGCCAGAAATACAACCAATATGTCCGAGGAAACACTCTCACAATACCGGTCATTTACTAAGTTCAAATTATTATAAATCTATCAAGTTTATATTCCCTTTACCTAAAATATTTTAGCCGCTTCTTAAAACACAACCAAGATATCTTGCAGTTATTTTAGAACTGTTTGATAGTTTTTTTGAAACTTATCAAATACGTTCATAAATTATCTAGCCAAAGAAAGAAAAAAAAACACCACACTTCACCAAAATACTCTTAAAACTAATAATAACCCGTATGTTTGCAATAAATTTAGATTTCAAAATGATAGATTGGCAGTCATTAATTTCACACTGAATTTCAGAACAATTGAAAAATATACGATATATGAGCCGCGTCACGACAAAACCAACATAATGGGTTTGCGACCAGCATGGATCCAGACCAGTCTGCGCATCCGCGCAGTCTGATCAGGATCCATGCTGTTCGCTTACAAACCCAATAACAAGTAGAGAAACTGATAGCGAACAGCATTGATCCTGCTCAGACTGCGCGGATGCGCAGGCTGGTCTGGATCCATGCTGGTCGCAAACCCATTATGTTGGTTTTGTCGTGACACGGCTCAAATATACAACATATGTTAATAATAAAGAATAGTGGCTTGCAACAAGTTACATGTGTTCTTTACGTGTGCCAAGAAAATATGAGAGATAGTTTTCTTCTAAATTGCTGAAAACGTTTGAAATGTAAATTATCTTAACATATTTATATACTTTGAAGCAATAATCATTTCAAGAAATGAAAATATCCCCAGAGTACCAGACAAAAATCAAATGTTTATGAATGTGAATGCGTTTGTAAAATTAAGAAATGATATTCTGACTCCATATCGTTGTGAGAGCATATCAGTTATAGGAGAACATATATTTGTTAACATATTTTATTGATTTTTTTGTCACTGTACCTACAGGATAATTATGTTCTTATATATTATATATATATATTATATCTCGTGTGAAATGGTGTCCGCAAATTACAAGATGTGAACAGTTGATCCGCAGTCCGCGAACTTGCATGTAACGTATTAAATTTAAACAAGAGCGGTATCAAACTTTATCAATACATTTATCGTGACATCAACAATGTCTTTTACGTCCAAATAAACATTTTTTTCTCCGCATAATCACTCTGTTATGTCGCTAAGTATTTTTTGTAATAAAACATGTAGGTATTTGTGAGATATATATTAACTCGGACTACATTTCAATTTTGATAATAATTAGTGACATTTACACGCATCTATATTGCATGATACTGTCAGAAATACGGTGATATGATTGGCTGATAAGGCTATTGTTTCTTCCTGGTTTATTAGACGCCCTGAGACTCATCTCGGAAACTATTTGGATAGTCTACCTGTTCGACATACCTGCTGGTATTCGGGAAGAAGAATTAAGATCCTACATTATTTCTAATTGGAGTTAATTAACTAGAAACAAAACAACTTGGAATTAAAATGGAGGTGAATTCTGCTATAATAGAGGTTAAAGCCGTAAGTATTTATTCTTATAAAATAAAGTCTGTTTTTTGTTTGTTTGTTTAAATAAAATTTTATATTAACATTGAAAAAAATCATCTTAAAACATGTATTTAAAAAGCACAAACGTCTCTCAAAAACTTATTTTTATTTTGTTTTGGTTTAATGTCTTTTGGACATAAATTTACCCAAATACTTGTAGTAGAATATTTTAATTTGTACAGCTAGGGCATAATTAGTCTTGGTTTTGGATAATGCAATTTTAACTTACAACAGTAGATTATTTTAATTTTCATTAATTTTCAAGAGTACAATAGTTAAACTTTGGGTTGTACTTTAGTTAAACTTTGGGTAGTACAATACTTAACATTTGGTAGTAGAATAGTTAAATTTTGGGTAGTATAATATCACAATTTCGAAAGTACAATATTTTAACTTTTTTCGTTAGTACAATATTTTAACTTTTGGTAGAATGATATTTAAACGTTCGGTAGAACAATACTAGTAGTACAATAGGTAAACTTTTTTTGTACACTATTTTATTATCTTTAAGTACTACAATAGTTTATCCTGTGGTAGTTTAACTTTCATTTGAACAATATTTTAACTTTCTTTAGTACAGTATTTTAATTTAACTTTTGGCAGTATTATATTTAAACTATCGGTTTAACAATAGTTTAACTTTCGAAAACACACTAATTCAACTTTTGTTAGCACAATATTTATACTTTTTTTTGGAATGATATTTAAACTTCCGGTAAACAACAGACCAATTCTTAGTACAATAGTAAAACTTTACTTTTCAGTAATACAATAGTTAAACTTTTATTAGTACAATAAGTACACTATTTTATCTTTTAGTAGTACAAAAGTTAAACTTTACTTTTCAGTAATACAATAGTTAAACTTTTATTAGTACAATAGTTAAACTTTTGGTAGTACACTTTATTGTCTTTTAGTAGTACAATAGTTAATCCTTTGGCAATTTCTATCTTTCGTTAGTACAGTATTTTAACTTTTGGTAGTATACTTTTTAAGCATTCGGTAAGACAATAGTTTAATTTTCGGTAGTATAAAAGTTAAACTTTCGGTAGAACATAAGTTTTATTATCGGTAGCACAATATTTCAACTTTTGGTAATACAATATATTAACTTTCAGAAACACAATAGTTAAAGTTTTGGTAGTATAATAGTTTAACTTTTGGTTGTACAGAAGTTAAACTTTCGGTAAACATAAGTTTAATTTTCGGTGACACAATAGTTAAACTTTTGATAGTACAATAGTTAAACTTTTGGTAGTACAATAGTTTAACTTTCTGTAATACAGTAGTTAAATCTTTTGTAGTACAGTACTTAAACTTTATGTAGTCCAATAGTTAAACTTTCGGATATATACAATATTTATATCTTTTAGTAGTACAATAGTTTATCATTTAGTAGTTTAATTTTTTAACTTTTAGTAGTACAATACTTAAATGTTTGGTAGTACAATATTTTAGAAGTAAAATCTTGTTACTTCCAGGAGGTACTTCACTGATTTAACTTTCAGAAGTTTCAGTAATAATACAATACGAGTAGTTTTATAGAAATTTCGCAGGTATTCATATCTGTTGTTGATATTTAACATAATTCAAGTTGTACAATATTGAAATTTTTCGGAAGTAAAATATTTCTTTTGCAAAACACTTAAATGTGAATGTATATAAATAACTGTAAGTGCTTAAGCTATTTCATTTATGTGCTTTCAATACTTCAGGTCGAGTTTTGGACTCGAGTTGTTAAAGTCACTGATTTTCTAAACTCTTATTACTATTGCTGTCACTTCGACTTTTCTATTACATATATGTATATATAAAATAATTGCCAGTGGAACAATGCTCTTTGGAATAGTTCAAGACACTCAATGAACAAAATTATGACTAAGTATTTAAAAAGAATATAGATAAAATAATAAAATCGAATTTGTAAACTAGTGGTGTTTTTTATTAGAAGAAGTTTCAGTGGCGGCATGGCCGATTGGTTAACTCGTCGGACTAGTTATCTAATGATCGCTAGCCGCATAGATTCAAACCCCGTCAGGGGCAAGTCGTTGTTTCCTTGAGCAAGAAACTTTACACTCATTGCTCAGTACTGGTTGGTTCCAGGAACGGATTAGAAAGTGTATAGCTTATAGCTTCCTACACAATCGAACTAAAATAAAATGGTAAAGTTTCTTTCCGTTACGGAATATTCCCTTTGCTTCAAATACACCGATGATTGCATTTTATTTCTTACTGCTTGTCAAAAAGACCGACTTGACCGATTACTGTGGCATTCGGATTGATGAAAAGATGTAAGCAACCTATTACTACTTTCTTCCATGAACCACTTGTTTTCTGAATTTTGCTAACCGGCGGAAAACGGTTTGTGCGACAAAAGGTCGTAAATGGAAGGAACGTTTTTGAAGTTAATTAATTGGTGTACGCCGGGTAAACAAATTGTATATTTCTATACATTTTGAAAATTAACTGGATAGCTCGAAATGTCCAAAGCAGGTCCAGCTCATTATTTACATATTTGAATGTTAAGTTATCATTTAAGGCCAAACTTTTCTATAATTAGAAGTTGAGAAACTAATTTCCAAAGATGGAACATTTTTTAAGAATTCTTTCCGACCCAGCTAGGTCATACAATTTATAAATATGCTCACGAAAAAAAATCGTATTTTGTACCCAAAAATCTCATCTGTATATACAGTGTTGTCTCAAAGGAGCAAACTGTTCAAAAATAATTTGTCAGGCCTTGAAATAGCAAAAGCTTCATAAAAATAATCAAAGTTGTTATAAAATATTGTAGTAACCTCTGTCCTTTGTTACCTTATGTGTTTCTGTATAGGACATTATTTGAGACAAGATTATGAATATCATTTTTAAACCCAGACACTGAACATCAAAACAAATACATTTTACAAGCAAAGAACATAATTGTCTTTGAGTGGCATTGGTATCATACTTACATTGTATTTCAGTGATAACATAACTGGACAGTACTGAATATAACAGAGAATTGTGTTTTACATTCAAGTACTAAATACTAGCAACAACAGTTTTCCTAGGAGATTATCATTCATCTAACTTGCAAATGATCTACATTCTAGACTAGGAAATCATAATTCTAAGAATCAGTGAATAATATTGGTTATCTAAAACGAATAGTTTTATAGCCTGCTAGCTAATAAACTACACTTAGAATATGGTGTTTAGGACCTACCGGCGGTAGCTGTCGGTGCTAGGGTGTAAACTTGCATTTACCACTGCCGTCCATCGAACCGAGTCTACAACATTTTCAGGTTGCCCATGCTGAACGACCTTTAAGATGTCAATAGTTCAATATTGTAAGAGCCATTTAAAATACATGTAGATTTACTCCAATTGTATGAAATACTTTAATTTTTAAATTTCTCAATTTATAATTGATTACATCTTATCAATGTGAAAAAATGTTTGTTATAATAAATACATAATACAAAGATGAAAGGATAACATTCTTGGCACTTATCAATCTGTTTATTTCAATTTAACGCTGCCCCAACTTGAGTATGTGATATAAAAGTAATGTCTAGCATACGGAAAGTTTGTATCCCCCCCCCATTCTTTCACATTTCAAAACTGGAATAGTTATTCATGTCTAAAATTATCAGAACACCATAACCTACATATGTTTGTACCAGATCAATTTTAAATGTCCTGTGAATCATATATTCAACTGAAATTTCAGTATGAATAATATTTAAAAAAAACAAACAACCCCCCCCCCCCCCCCAAAAAAAAAAAAAAAAAAAAAAAAAAAAAAAAAACGAAGTCCTATACAATATGCATAAATTTACGATTATTATCATTATAATTTTGATAACATTGAGCATATATTTCAACTACTTTCGTCATTCTGCATAAAAATAATCAAGATTAGTTCATATATAATATACTAGATTATCATAACTGAAAACAACAAAAACACCAATTTCAAAAAAGAATGATAATAAACAACAAAAAAACCCCTCAAAAACAACAATTATTATTTAGAGTTTAAAAGACGTTTGCTATTGGGAGCAATTTCTCAAACATTTTACTTCTAAGTTACAATCAAATCTTTGCATACACTGTGACGCATGCGTGCGTCTGCTTGTGTGAACTGGTTGCATTAGACCAGAGTACCTGCTGCATTTTGCAACATGGAAACAAACATTAATGGCTTACTTTGTGCCAAAACTGTCAGTCCAGTCTAACAATGTTTCAAGACTGCGTAGATTTTAACTAAGATGTTGTACTTCGGTGCTTAGTCAAAAGCTTGAGTTTATTTTACATGTATATTTGCAAAATGAAATGAATCAACAGATTTTATAAATATATTGTTGTTTAGTAACTCTTCAGAGGAGTCATAATCTATCCAGATTAGAACATGCGGGGCAGTTAGCCTCTTTATTTTTATGCGTTATTTACTCATCCACACGCTATATGCGAGTTAGCTACCGAATGGTAGTGCTCTTCGTCTAAGTGTAGTTAGTCAATGGTCTAATTTCCAGCCCAGTCACATCAAAGATGGCTTTCAAATAAATCTTTTGGCCTGAATCTCAAAAAGCTTGTATAGGACAAACAAACTTAAGGGCCATCTAGGCGATCTCAAAGGGCCTCAAAGTGTAAGTCTGTCATGATATTTAACAAACAGAAAAAAAGTCATTTGTTATTTTATAAATGTTTTTTTTTTGTTCTAAAGAAGGCAATAAACCGAAAGCCAAAGAAAAAGCGTATGTTTGTATTAAACTGATATCAATAACCTTAAACAGCATATGTTTATATGCTTGTTTATTACCTGTTAACAATCATAGAAGAGTGCTACCCAACTGATCGATTTCTATTATTTCAATCTCAAACTAAATTAAGTCGAATGCAGATTTCATTTCAATATCATGAGATAAGTTCTTGTGCACTACGTTATTTATTTTATTACAAGTTTTATTCTGCACTAAAATATTGTA